TCAGCAGCTTTTGTAATATAGTTGTAAAAAATAATATTTACAACAAAAATAAATAAAAATAAAATCAGAAAAAAATTATGACTAATGTTTAACAAGTTTCTTCCTCAATGATTAATAAAGATTATTATCATTATTTTTTTAAAAGCTTTAAAACTTGACAAAGTAAATCATTTATCATTGAAGCACAAAGATTAAGATCTCACTGTTTGTCCCCCAGATTTGAATAAAGATTTATATCTAGAGAATTATTTCATCAACAAATATAGCAAATTAAAAAACAAACCCTTCAATAATGAAAAGAAAAATTGTCAATTGAAGATAAACAACTAAAAAACTATAAAGATCCATGTATATATATATATATATATGATATATATGTATGTGTATGTATGTATGTATGTATGTATGTATGTATGTATATGGATAGGTAGATAAGAGGTAATAAAAATGAAAAAAGAAACTTGTTATTGATATACATACAAGCAATTTTTAGTTAGAGAAGACGACGAGAGCACCTTAGTAATTAGAGAATAGATAACTCGTAAATTATAAAAAAGAAAAGCGAGCGACTGGCGAAGAAAACAACTAAGATAAAAAAATTAGAATTTAAAAATTTAAATAAGAGTTAAAAACTATTCATAATTTTTAAAATAATTAAAGCTCACAGTAGTAGAAGAGACACTACCTCTTTAATTTTTTAAAAATTAAACTCATTGATAAAAAAATAATTTTGAAGAGAGAGGTGCATTTCCATCACATAGAAATGCCACCTCTCTCATTTAAATTTTTTTTAACATTTAAAATTAAATAAATAATATTTTATACTTATAAATATTGAAAATAAAATAATGAAAAAGAAAGAGAGGTGGTATTTTTAAGTTTGGAAGTGCCAACTCTCTTGAATTATTTTTTAAATATTATTATATATTAATTATAAATACTTAATAAATAAATTATAATGAAATAATTATTTAATATGATAAAAAAATTTAAAATCAGTAAGAGAATATCAAGAATGGCATTTTCAAGCATAACAAATGTAGCCCCTCTTATTTTATTTTATGAAATGATATGATATACTATTTAAAATTATTTATATTAACAAATTATAATAAATAATTATTTAATCTGATAGAATAAAATAATAAATTAATAACAAGGTAGAGATGTGGCATTTCCAAGCTAAAAAACGTCACCTCTCTACTTTTAAGTTATTAGATAATAATACATATTAATAATTAATATTAATTAAATAAATTATAATAAATAATATTTTATCTTACAATAAAATATTGAAAAAGGAAGAAAGGTGGCAATGTGGCATTTCCAAGTTTGAAAACACCACCTCTCTTCAATATTTTTTAAATATTTCATATATATAGTTATAAATACTTAATAAATAAATTATAATGTAATAATTTTTTAATATGATAAAAAATTTAAAATTAGTAAGAGGGTATAGAAAATGACATTTTTAAGCACAACAAACATGGTCTTTCTTATTTTATTTATTAATGATATGATATACTATTTAAAATTATTTATTTAACAAATTAAAATAAATAGTTATTTAATCTGATAGAATAAAATAATAAATCAATAACAAGAATAGAGAGGGCATTTTCAAGTTGAAGAAATACTTCTCTCTACTTTCTAATTATTAGATAATAATACATATTAGTAATTAATATAATTAAATAAATTTAAAAAATAATATTTTATCTTACAATAAAATAGTGAAAAAGGAAGAGAGGTGGCATTTTGGAAATGCCATCTCTCTTCAATTTTTTTTAAATATTTTTATATATTAGTTATAAATCCTTAATAAGTAAATTATAATGTAATGATTTTTAATATGATAAAATAATTTTTAAATCAGTAAGAGAGTATAGATAATGACATTTCAAGCACAGCAAACATAACCTCTCTTATTTTATTTATTAAATGATGTGATATTCTATTTAATTATTTCTTTAACAAATTATAATAAATAATTATTTAGTCTGATAAAATAAAATATTAAATTAATAACAAGGCAGAGAGATGGCATTTTCAAGTTGAAGAAATGCCACCTCTTTACTTTCTAATTATTAGATAATAATACATATTAATAATTAATATTAATTAAATAAATTATCATAAAATAATAATTTATCTTATAATAAAATGTTAAAAAAAGGAAGAGAGATGGCATTTTCAAGTTTGGAAACGTCACCTCTCTTTATTTCCTTATAAATAATAGATATACTAATTAAAATTACTAATTAAAATAAAATATAATAAAATAATTATTTAATATCATAAAATAAAATGTTAAAATCAATAATAGAGTAGAGAGGTGGTGTTTTCAATTAAAAACACCACCTTTCTGCTTTTGATTGTGACAAAGATATTAATTTATTGAAAAAAAAAGATAGGTGGTATTTGCCCCTCTTGAAATGCCACCTCTTATTATTTACTAAAATTGTAAGTAGAAAAATAATTTATAAGCGATGTCATTTAAAATAAAAAATACCATCTCTCTGCTTGGACTTTAATGTTAGTGACATTTCATTTTTTATTACTATAAAATGCATGCTACTAAATTTTATTTCTGTAGTAGTGCAACTTTTACTTGAAGAATTATTGTTTTGGGGGTCAAATTTAATTTTTATCATTTTAATTCTTAATATTTGTTTCAAGTTATTATGTTAATCTTTTAAATTTTGCAACTTATATTAGCTCTTGAAAAAGTTGATGTGTAAATTACATTGTTGACATGGAATATACACATAATTTAGTTAACACATATACTCTCTTCATCCTTATATATAAGAAGACTTTTAGAATTTTTTTATCCCTAAATATAAGAGGTTATTAGCATATTTTTAATGAATAGACTATTATAATCTTATTAAATTAGAAAGAGAAAAAGATAAGTACTGTCATTAATTTACTTTAAAAAAAGATTCATTTTTTATTTACAATAATTAGAGGTAAAACTGAAATGTTGCTGTATTTTTAATTATATAACCAAGTTTTATTAATTTGTATGATTCAATTAAAAATATTTTATATATAGAGATGGAGGGAGTAAGTCAAATCTCCTAATCTTAACTCTACTAGGACGTTGTTGACTTTATAATTTTATAATTGCTAATTTAATTTGTGGTTTTTTTCAACCTACATAGCCTTTTGGCTTTATCCAAGACACCAATTTTGCTTCCCTCATTTTCCAATCCATATCATCATCCTATTAGCAATGTCATGTAATTAACAACGTTAATTTCTATTATAAACTTAAGAACTAATTCCTCCAATCTTATTTATAAGACATCTTTTAATAATAGTTTTTAGTCTTAAACATAGGACACCTTACAATAATTAAATCATTTTTTTTAATTTTACCTCTTCTTAATTAGCATGAAGTTATTTAGTATAGTTGTATTATTATTTAAAATCAAGTGTAAAAATGAATGTACATTTCACTTTTTTATGATATAAAAAATTAATTTTTTTAAAATGTGTGAAACAGTTGAAAGTATTTTATAATAAAGATTGGAAGAAGTAAACTGTTAAGGATTGAAATGATGAAAAGTAAATTTGAGGCATCAAATCAATAATTTTCTCAAATGTAAGCTGCTAAAGTTGCATTATCTCATAAATAACAAAAAGAAATTATATTTTTTACATTATATATTGAATGTATTGCTCATGATTTCATTATATGCTTATATTTTTTGAAAAAATATCAATCAAGGACTGCTGAAAGAAATTATAAATCAAAGACTATTTATTATCAAAACTCGAATGGATATTTGTCGATTCGAGTTAGTCTTTTATCAACAATTATCAATTCAGGTTTTAACAACTTATTCTAAATTAACAACAATTTATTTGAGCTTTTTTCATTTAAATTTTAACAATAACTAATTTTTAATTGATATAAATTTCCTCCAGTAGTCCTTCCTTGCTATTTTCTTATATTTTTTTGGGGAAAATTAATGTCTTAATTCTTGTAGTTTCACCAAATTTTGAATCAGGTCCTTGTAATTTTTTTCTTCTTTTTATTAGGTCCTCATGATTTGCTCAGTTATTAGCGTTGGTCCTTCCATCTGTAAATCTTTCGCATGCCATTAGTTTAAGTTGATGGGGGATGGTGTGTTGCTGAATAAGATTTGACTAAGAACACATATGGACATACACTGCCACGTACATTAAGTAAACACATTGAGGTGTTGCCAAGCGTAGTCTGGCTGTATAGATCGAAAAAAGAAAGCTGCTTGGTGTAAGAGTTTGCGACAGAGAAGGGAGATCATCAAATTCTTCTGCGGAAGAGCAAGTAAACTGTAGATAGGGCAGAGATCGAGAGAGATCATTGAATTCTTCTTTGAACTATAAGTCTAGAACTTTTTTTTTTCCCCAATTTATTGTCATATTTCAATGGACTTTCTGATCTTGTGGAGGTGATTATGCACATTATATAGATCATTTTTCTAAGAATTGAATGCACATATCAAAGCATCGCAATATCAATGGACTCAAGGATGGCGAGATGTTTGGAAGAAGAAAGTGAGTAGAACTTTTTGAGGTCCTATATTAACAATGAGTAGATCCTTCAAGGTTTAGCTTTTGGTGAGGCTTCTTAGTTGCTCTATCAGCATGGGTTTCAATTTTGATCTAGCGTGTTGTGCCACTTGTTACAATGGTTATCTACATATAAAATTTTAACATCGTTTGTGCACGTCATGGTTCTTAAACTGTTTCTCATATTTCTAGGGATAAACGCCTCTAATAGTGTAAATTATGAGCAGTGTGTTTTAAAGAAAAAAACTGTAGGGATCAGGAGCAAAGCAGTGTAATACTACTATGCGGACCTGAGATATCCTTTTCCCTATTGTTTTACATGTGTACTTCATATTTAAATTCATAACCACCACCTTTTCTTACTTTTTTATTACTGTGTTTTAGGAAAAATATAATTGCTCTTCAAGACCTCAAATAATTGAAATGGACCTCTCTTTTAAGTAGGACACAAAGGATAGATATTTGATGAAAGTGTTATATACAGAGATTCTGGGGCATTTGATGGACACATATACAAAAGAAAGCCATGCTACCAAAGGCAAATAAAATATAGGACTTAGGCACGCAGGCTATCATATCAACATATAGGCAAGAAGATAAACTCACACTCTCACGATTGATAGCACAAGAATATCACACAGTTGCATAGTGTAATATGGGTGCAGATCCATTCAAACTCTGGCGACATGAAGTGCCCTCATTCCTCGTTGATAAAAATCCCAATGTATAGTTGGATAATCTTTGACCTTTTTGAACAACCTGGGCTGTTCTTCACTCACCAAACCTTCTTCTGGTCCGATCTCTCGGCTTAGTGCAGGTTGATAGAACATGGCAACTGATAACCTGTCCCTCTCTGAGTTGGTTAATACCCTATGAACTGGACTCTTGAACACCCCATTACTCATCATCTGCACCATTACATACAAACCACCTATAAATAAACGCATATATCACAGGATGACAAATATTTAATACTTAATTCCCAATAGAAATATGCAGCATTGCGTATGTTGGGTTTCATAAGAAATTCACCTTTGATAGATTAGTTTAAGCCGAAGCTCATTATGATGAGTTGGCCATTTCTTGCAAATAAATGCAAGTATGGGTTTCATAATACTATTTTTCCTTTTTGAGGGGAGAAAAGGAGGGAACGGTTACTCTTGCTCGGGAAAAAGAGTAGTGTACCAATAAGTGTTGGTTCTAGTAAAAGGGCTTATGACTTTTTAAGCATGAGGTTTTAAGTTGAAGTCTATGTAAATATAAAAAATGCTTTCAAGAGATTTATTCGCAATTAAGCCTGATAATACTTGAATCTGGTTCAGTCAAATAACTCTGTAAAAAAAAAAAAAAAGTAGTGTGGGAAGTCAATTTTGAGACACACTTGAAAAACGAAAAGAAGTTTAAGGAAGGCTCCTTGACACACACTCCCTCCCTCCCTCCCTCTCTCTCTCTCTCAACTCTTCAGCTGTTCAGCATAGCTATTTGCAAGTGATTACTCAACCATAAGAACTATATATCAAGTGAGTTATTGATAAGTCTTTGATTGAAGCCAATAATGATCACATGGCATTTCAAGATGAGACTATAATACCTCCATGAGATCACCCACGAGAACTAAAAGGGCGTTTTGGATTGTCGGAACAGTGAACCATTTGCCATCTTGGTGGATTTGGAGGCCTTCAACATCATCTTGCAGGATGATGGTAAAAGCAGTTGAATCTGCGTGAGGCTTAAGGCCAAGAACAAGATCTGGCCACTCACACCTAGAATAGTAATTGAACCTTGCTTGTAATGTTGCTTCCTCACCAATCTGATTCACAAAGCACTTCTCTTCCAAGTTCAGTGACCTTGCCATTCCTCTGGAAACCAGATCTGTCACCTCCATTATCTTTCTACCATATTCTTCCAAAACACCCCTGCGCAAGAGTGAATCAATCAGTCCTAGTCTCAGTCTCAAAACACAAATATTAATACTTGTGTCCATGATTAACAAGGAAAAAATGAAGTAATATACCTGAATGATGGTGGGTTTGTTGGCCAGAATGTGTACTTCCTTGTATCTTGTGGGTATAGATAAAGAAACAAGCGATCAGACCAGTCTAGAGACTGTCCTTCTTCAGGAACTGGGTCTGCGCCATACCCATCAAATTCTTCAACCCCTTTACAAACTTTGTTCTTTTCCTCCATCGGCTGCTGAAAAAAATCCCTCCCAACTTGGCGAACCTCATTCAAAAAGGAAACCGATATCCCATGATTCACTGCCTGAAATTCCATGAAAAAAAAAAAAGAAAAGTCAACAAGAAGTTAAATGGTGAAGAAGATATATTATCACTATTAAAACCAGAAACATGCTTGCTACAGAACTGGAACGACTGATCTGACTGTTAAATCTTACTGTATAGTCATGAAATGGAAATATAGAAGAGGTGGGTATGGAATATAAATAGAGAGGGAGAAACCTGAAAGCAGCCCCAAGAAGAGAGTGCTAATCGAAGCTTGTCCAATTCTTGTTTTTGTTGAGCAATATCTGGTGCTGGTGATGAGAGGAGGCCAAAGTCAATGATTGGTATTGAACATAAAGTTGAAGACACAACTTGTGTTGGACCATCGTCTCTACAAATATAAGGTGGTGGTGGTTCTTCACCGTTGAGGACCATTTCTTGGACACGCCTCGCTAGCAAGATATCTGCTGGAACTATAGAAGTTTGTGCCATATTAACAGCAATACCTTGGTCTCTGTACCGTGTCTAATACGCTGCCTTCTTCTTCTTCAGCTATATTGATTTTCTGTTATGTGTTATGTTGATGATGCTAATTAAGTTGTGAGCATGGCGAGAAGCTTTTCTTAAATCTGGACTTATCTCTGGTTTTAAGCTGTATGATTGAACAAATATCACAAGGAATCCTATTTCATGGACGTTTGTCCAAGAGAGAGTCACGTGCCTGGAAAGTTCAGCGAGTGGGTGTCATTTTCATTATCTTTTCACCAATGCCGTTATGATATTTTTATCTTAAGATTTCAAACAGCCTCCCCCAAATTATAAAAAAATTTTAAAAAAATTTTATGTCCCAAAATACCAAAATATAAGACTATTTTACAAAAATAAAATTTCATTAATAATATTTTTTAATATTGTTCTTTTCATATATATATTTTTTAATTTTTTTATAAATAAAATAATAAATGAAGAGCATTTCTAAAAATTTATATTTTTATTTTTAAAAAATAAAATTATAAAATATATTTAATAAAATTTATTAATACGTGTATTTTTTTAAAAAAATATATTATAAATTAAGATGAAGAGAGTATTAAGTAATGGCTAACTAGGTGCCACGGTGGCACCACATGACCTTACGAATGTCAAACTTGAAAATTTCACCCTTAGCAATGACACGGGAGTGAGAGTTTCTCGAGTTAGGATGTGCGCCAGATATTTGAAATTGTCCCTATAAAAAATAATTAGTGTCATCCTAATATCACATGAAATTTAAAAAGTCAATTGTATTATTTATGACTTTATAACCATGTGGCATATTTTTATATCATATATATATAGAAATATAATTTTTTTGACCCATAAAAAAAATTATTTAAAAGAATTATGTTTGTCCTATGATGTAAATTATATGTTTATTTATTTTGAGATTCATTTGATATTAGAAATGAAATAAAGTATAAAAATAAAAAATTTCTTTTGTAAATAGAAAATAATTGTTAATTTTTCATTTTCTAATCTAAATTTAAGATAGACGAAAACTGTCATTTTAAATAGTATGACCATCGAACATATTTCTACTTAATTTAAATGTTTAACTATAACTTATTATTTTTATAAATAGGAAGGGAGGTAGTAATAATTACTCTGCATGAACGAAATTATAAATTAGGACTAAAATGCCCTCCAACCTTCAGATGAAATACTTGAAAGGAAGGTAGTAATAAGATTTTTATCTCAATATTTTAATTATTAGATGATTGAATGTTTTGAAATGGTTAGCGTAAATCCCTTACATTATAGTAATGAAATTTGAAAAATAAATTAAACTGTTTATGGCTTCCAACGAATATGTTATGCTAGATTTTTTTAAAGAATAAATGTTCATTTTTGCTATTAATATTCTTTAAGGGACGTCCAGCATGCTGGACTATTTGATGGAGTAACTTTACTTTTAAAGTAATTAAAATGAAGTATTTTTATCGTTACTGTCAAATTTTCAATATTAATTGTTAGAAATATTAATTGGAACTCCAACATTAATCATTAAGAAATTTAAAAGAAAGAGTAAAAGTGCTATGCTTTAATTATTAATTAATTAGGGTATTTTGAAAAATGCTTTGAGAGTAAAAATCTACCTTTGACCTTTTTTTATAATATCACATATAGAAATATGAAATTACTTAAAATAAACACTTTTGTCTTCGGGTTAAAGTATAAATTTACCCTAAACTTTTTTAAGGAGGCGCAATTGGCATCTTTTTATTTTTAAAGATGCAATATTGCCCTAACGTTTTTTAAAACGGTATAATTTTACCCTATACAAATAGATTTAAGTTTTGACAGTCAAGTTGACTGTTATATGCCATATGTCATGTATTGTTGAATTAAAAAAATATAATACATGTCCTGTCATCCTTACATTCTCCTTTTAATATTTCATTTGATTTTTATTTTTTGAGTTAGATAAGGCAAGTGTAGAGGCTTAGGATAGTAAGATTAGTATTGACGTAAAGCTCAGATTCAAACAAAATTTTGGACCACATCTTTGTAAATCATCTTGTAGAAAGCGTTTGCATCCTTCAATTGTTGGTGCGAACAAAATTTCATGATTTCTTGAGTTCTTGACTTGCCTCATATTCGAACAACTTGCCCATGGCTTCTCAAGTTCTTGTCTTCCCTCAAGCTATCATCATCCCCTCAATCACTGGTGCGAGCTTTAATGGAGCTCAAAGGGTCATGGGTTTTGGAAGAGGCTCTCTCTCTCTCTTTCTCTCTCTCATGCATTGTCAATAGCGATAATGACCTTCGTGATTTCATGTTCAATCTTCCCTAGCCAAAGCTTGGAGAGTTTGCATCTTCCCCCTAGCCCATCATCGAGGTTCCCTTGCGGTTGTGTGTCCCTCTACAACTTCTTGTTCCACTCTTCTCGCAGCCCTTGCGTCTTCAATCTTCCCCTTACCTTCTCTATCTTCAATCTTAGTTTGTGGATAGCTATATTTTAGGGCTATAATTTTTCTTGTGAATGATGATGTTTGGCCATGAAATTATTGAAGAAATTAGTTCTGGTTAGTTTGTTGGTGTACTTATATGCAATTGTGTTATTGAAATGGAGTGTTAAAAACCAATTCTGGTTTGTTTAAGGGTATATTGTGTGTAATTCTAAAAAGAAAATTTTGATGGAGCTTTGGCATTCTTGTGACAAAATGCTTTCAATTTGTTAGAATGAAGTCATGGAATGGGAATAGAGGATTCATCTGGTTAATTAACTTTGATTTTTCTAAATTGTGGATTTGTTGAAGATGGAGGCAAAATGATGAAGAAGCGTGAGATTTTGGTTGATTTTCACTTGATTGAATAAAGGTGCATGAGATTTGGGATTGATGCAAAGTCTCCCGTCCTCAAAGAAGAATGATGAAGAAGGATAAGGGAGAGAAGAATGAAGATACCTATGATAATAAGGGGAAAAAAATTTCATAAGTGGCATCAATGCGGCACTCTAACAAGATAAATAAATATTCAAACAAGGTCAAAACATTTGGATTTGTTGGTTTAAGATAAAATTGTGTTGTATTTAAAAACATTATGGTGACATTGTGCTTTTTAAAATAAAAAAATACTAATTGCGCCTTTTGAAAAACATTTGGGATAGATTTATACATTAACCTTTTGTCTCATAACCTCAATTATATTTTTTATTTCTTTTAAGATTCATTTGATATATAAAAAATTTTAAAAATAAAAAAATAAAAATTTTTCTAAAAAAAATTAAGATTCATGTTTTCTCTAAAATCTAAAATTTAAAATAAAATGGGTAGATAAAAGTTAAAAACTGTTAAATAAGAGGAATAAAACATATTTTAATACTAAAATGCCCTTCAACCTTCCGATGAAAACCGTGTTCCCAAACCTCTTTGCTCTGTTCGAAATCGAAGGTCGTCTGTCATTTCTCTACTCGATCGAAGCTTCAACCAGCGATTTTTCCACCAGGTTTCGTCTATATTTTTACTTATCAGCAAGTTTTTAGTGTAATGTGAGAAGTTTCTGCTTCGATTTGCCCTCTCCATGTCAGCCCTATTTTCCCATCTTTCGCCTTCCATTTCCCTTCGCTCTTCGCCGGTTTAGAGTCCTTGCATGTGCAGGCTTCTTCTTGCTGGAGAAGCGTTGTCCTTTGCTCTGTGTCTCTCTGTCCATCCACTTCGATACTCGTAGGTATTTTTTGATCATGGTGGTTGTGGCACATGGAGTTTCGTACTTCGCTTCCTTTTTAAACGAGCTTTCATGTTCTGCGTTTCAGTTGTTTAGCTTTCCTGATAGGAACGCTTTAGGGCTATATGCACGAATTCATTCACATTCGTCAACTTGTTCATTCGATTGATGTCACTTTCCACTTGGTGCATGCAACACTTCCGTTGTCAAATTCTTTTCCTTATATAACGTTTGAACGCGATAGCGCACTAGCGAAAAATGAGTATTTTCTTTTTAAACAAATGAAATTCAAATAGTTGATTCATCATTTACCATATTAAACAAAAAATTCATGGAACACTAATATAGGTGAAGTGACTGGGTCAAGCATGGTTTCAAATCCTTTTTTCAGTGGTTGAAATTCCTACTTATGGCATGCGGACAGATTAACTTCCTTTAACATACAGTTTTGGTTAAATATTTCCGTATGATATCTATTCAGAGATTAACTTCCTTTAACATATAGTTTTGGTTAAATATTTCCGTGTGATATCTATTCTCATATTTTAGATCTCATACTATTATGTAATGAGTTTTTCTGTTTCCGTTTTTTTTTTTTTTGTGGGGTCTACCATCAGCATTTGAACTTGTGCCCAAATGGTTCACCTTCAAGCAATGAACCACAGAGACAAAAGTCAGCTGGTTTTCTGTTTCCATGATCATAGTCTTTTTACAAATTCTTATTGGCTTTTATCAGTTTTCTTCCTTCCCTGCTGTTTCTGATCAGGTTGAAAGCATTTTTAGATTTAATAATTAACTTCTGACATTGTCCTTTCTGCTGTCTAGTTCTCTAAATGATTCATAAATACAGGTGGTATGCATTGGGGTTTAAAAATTAAAATAATGTTATTTAGTTTTCCTTTTTTCTAATAGGAATTGAGAAAAATGACATTAGCTTTGGTCTTTCTTACGCTACAATTAGGAGCTCCCATGGAAGCTAGTGGAGGAGAAATTGCATGCAAATTAACTGCAATATTTTAAAGGGAAAATCACTAAGAGGCACCACATAAAAAATTTAATTTTTAAAAAGTCTCATGAAATGCAAAAATAACACTCAAATCCCACGAGTCTTAATTGTAAATAAGTTTCGGTGCGCTCCAAAACTTATTTACAATGGAAACCTATGAGACTTCACACTTAATTTTACATTTTATGGACTTTTTGGAAATTAAATTCCTTGAGATCTCTTAGTAATTTTCCCTATGGGTTATTTTGGTCATTGAATCATACTTTGCAGAACATAAATGAACTATCATGCCTAGTCAAGATTCTCTCTACTGCAATGGTCATGAAAACTATCATGTGCAATATTTTTACCAGAAAGATAAAAAATAAAGTGCAATGTATACTGAACTACTTTGAGAGAGGCAGTGCTTCAATTTCTGAATTAGTGGGACTCTCTTCGTGGCAATCTTGATATTTTGGAGTCTTGTTTTATCTGTGTGCAAAATAAAACCCCTTGCTGTCTTCTAGTTTAAGCTTGTATCAGCATCCTGTTATAGGGAATTCCTTATTTTAATGTTTTCTACATTCAAAACAGAACAACTAAGAGTTGCTCATGCAAGAAGCTACTATACAAAAATTCAATTCTGTTATATTTATTTTCATCATCTTTGTGTTATGCTTCGCAGGTCAGGAAAATGGCGAAACGTCAACGCAATAAGGTGAATAATAAAAGGAAACATGAGACTTTGATGAAGGAGAATGACAAGACATTAACGGACAGGGTCAGTCTGGAGAGGAAGAGTGACCGTGGCATGTCATATAATCCTACCACGTCCACTGCCCACACAAGTTCTTCACCTGAATTTCAACTTCCACCTCCAGCCACATTCCATGACCCTGTAAGTAAAAAAATGTACCACCTCCGTCCCAAAACAACTTTTGAAATATTTTATTGTCCCAAAATATATGGCAATTCAACAAAAATAAGATTTTATTAATGATACTTTTTTAATATTACCTTTTAAGAGGAGAGAAAACTAAAATGATTGTAGTCTAATGATTAAGTGTGTAGATTTAAAATAGGATAAAGAAATTTTTAGTCTCTCGAATTTGCTTCAGTTATTGATTTAATCTCTAAAACTCAATTTTCATCGTTTGGTCTGTTATGTTTTCTTGAATTATTGTGTTAGTTTCTTAAGTTTTTAAAACATAAATTTACTCTTAAATTAATCTAATATGTTTAAAATATTTTGATAATTTAGCATTGACTGTTGATAAATAAGAACAAACTAACTCTCAAATCAATTTAATTTTTATTAATCTAGTCTTTTATGATTCATTTTATTCTTTTGTTTTTAAAATTTTTTTATTATGTTTTTTCTATATAAACAATTATACTTCTTTTTATTAATTTACATGGCTACCATTAATTATTTTGTCATCCATGTTCGCAGAAATCTACTTTTTTTTTTTTTAAAATTCTGATTATTTTTAACATTTTAAAAAATAATTATAAAATCTCACAAAATAAATTTTTTCAAAAATAAGTAATTTTTTTATGAAAAAAATGTTAAAACAAACAGGTCTGCCAGATAATTAAAATAGATTGAGTGGTTTTGCTCTCGATCCATCAAATTAAAAGTAGATGGTGTAGTTTTGATTTGGTTTATTCTTATATTTTTTATTTTAATCAATGCAAAATCTAAAATAAAATATATTCTTATTAAAAAATTCTAAATATTGATATTATCATATTTTAAAGTTCTAAATTTAAATTTAGATATTCAAATGGTCCAATAACAATTTATTTTAATTTTAAGATAAAAGATTCTCGATCAAAATCCGTGTCGAAATCAAATATTTGTGTGCCTATGGCTATAAATAATCTCTCAACGGAGATATAATATTCTTCAACAAGAGCTATATCAATTTTCTCCAACTTCTTATCGCTACTCATTCATCATTCAAAAATCAAAATGGGCGTAGAGTTTCTACAAACAGAGCAAATATTGTTGCAGGTATGTCCTATTTTTTTTTTAATGAGCAAATTTGTCACGATCAAAGATTTTTAGGATGAAGATCATAATTAAAGTATTGAACATGTTCTTGATTTTTTTCCAGGAATTCTGTAGGACCGATGAGTTTTTTATTTACCTTTTTTTTCAAATTTAAAATTAACCAATTTTGCGTTGATTTTCAAGTCGTTTACATTTTGCGTTGGTTTGTTCTCCTTTCTATATAGTCTTTCCGGGGGCCAAATTATAGAACAAATTAACCAATTTTGTGGTTCTTTAGTAATTATAGTTAACATACTTAAACAGACTTGTAAGAAAATGTTCGATTTTTGAACTTTTGATCTTCATTAAAATTGATAATCATAATAAAGTGTAACTGGAAATTACAACAACTTGGCAATACAAGGCAGGTGGAAGAGTTGGAATAACGAATTGTCCCTTCTCTAAAGGGAGAAGATGTTTATGGCTAAATTCTTTAAAGAATTTAAAGAGAGTGCTCACCTCTGTGAGAAGATTTGAAGGTCTTGCATATTGTTTAAGACCATGATCATCATCATTATCCTTCTTCTTAGAAAGAGATCTAGGTTGCTTAGGCTTTTTAGTTCTTTTTCTGAAACTAAAATCATCATTAATTCACACAATTAAGGAGGAATAATATTGAAAAAAGTTTATCTACTCATATAATAATTCTTTTAAAACATATTGTAAAATAATTCTTTTATTTATGAAATTGTAATTATGTGTAGGGTTGGGAGCCTAGAGGCTATGTATGTACCCTGCATTTGATACCCTAGTAAACGAATATTAGGCTAGAGGTTATTCCTTTCATTTCATCTCCCGTAGAAAATTATGTAATTTTTCTTTGTGAAAATTGCTAAAATTATTCTGGTGACCCATATTTCACCTTATTTAAAATTTTGCCCCGCCTTTGTCACTCTGGGTCTGTCTCTGATTTCAGTCTCTTATAGTTCACATTTTCACAACAGCTATTATGTTGTTGTCTTATATTTAAACGCTTAAAAGTTGGTACTAATAATATTGATGATATTTTTATTCGCTAGGATCACACCAACCACATTGAGAAGGAGATGGAGGCACCAACCAAAATCAATACTAACTTTGAAGATCTTCCGCAAGATCTTATCCACTCTATCATGAATTATCTCCCTTGCAAGGATGCATTTAGACTTGGCGTTTCATCCAAAGCCTTCTATTCTTTGTGGCTTTCCAATCCTGTTCTTCACTTTGACAACAGATCCTTCGTACGAGATGAAGAAGAAGAAGAAGACGAAGACGAAAGTGAAGACGACGACGACGAAGATGAAAGTGAAGACGAAGAGACGAGGACGAGGACGAAATGAAGAAGATGAAGACGAAGGGGAAGACGATGGAGACGAAGACGAAGACGAAGACGAAGACGATTACAACTTCTTCTCTTTCATACGCAAAACCCTCCAGCTTCGCAGACCTCACATCAACAAGTCTCTAAAAAATTTATGTCTTCATTATTACAGGAAGAAGGCCACGTCGGATCATGATAACTTTTATTTTACCAAACTGTGCTTGATTCGTTGTTGGACTTTGCAGTAGAGAATCATTGTCGAGAGATTGTTCTTCTTCATATACTCCTCACCATGCCTGGCCTTACCTTGTCTGCAGAAAATAATTACTTGATCGATGTGAGTCATGACTCAATTCTTCCTCTATTTTCATCAGAGTTCTGACCTATCTAAGTCTTTCTGGTTTAAGAATTCCGATTGCTGATCCTATTATCCTATGCCCTAAATTGGAAAGTCTTGAAATCTTCCATTGCCAAGGATTAAAAACTTTAACTATTTCATCCCAGTCATTGGAAAAAGTTGAAATATGCGGTTGTATAGGGTTGGAAGGAGTTGAACTGAAGGGAAAGAAAATATCAACTTTCATTTTTCAAGGCATTAAAGTCAATGAACTTGAGCCATATGATGAGATATCAATTAACCTTTCAGCTTGTGAATCCGTGAAAATGTGATTCTACTTAACACCAAGTTGTCAGAGAATTTCTTGACGGAACTAGCCACAGAGTATTTGTTCATTACGTTCTGTGACTTGCCTGAGAACCTGAGAATCGAAAACCCCAACATTAGACAGCTGTCGATAAGTGTGATAGTGATGATAAATTGGAGAATTATTCCTCTCTGCTATCAATCTTGAGCATTTTATTTATGAGTCTCAACAAAGACCAAACTGTACACTGAATATCTCAGCATGTGTGGCTCTAACACACTTGACATTGAAAGGAGCAACCATAACAGATGAATGGTTGAGAGAGTACAATATCAAACTTGGATTGTCTGAAGAGTGGACGATTAGTGAATGCAATTCCTTAGAGAAGATTGGGTTTGAAAATAACAGGCTTGCGTGCTTGTGTTTGGCCAAGTGTTTCAATTTAAAAGAGGTAATTGTTGATGTTCCAAACCTGCTCAAATTTGCCTATCAAGGAAACCTTCAAGTTTATCCAATCCAAATCTTATCATCAACCAAATTCAGAACTGAGATTACATTAATGCCAGAAGGCAACATAGATCCACTCTCATGGTTTGGCAACATGAAGCAATTTCTCTTGCTTTCAACACATCAAAGACCTCTCTATCAATCGCTGCAAAGCACAGGTATGCCCTTATTTTCTCTTTTCACATATGGAAACTATATATAATCATCATAAGATGATCTCTTAGGATAATTCTGTTGTGTTTTTAAGAATTAATAGAAAAATCCAAATTCATGTTTTAGTAATGATTATAATTTCTTTATAATTTCAAATTTTCTTTAGATTTTAGTTATTAGAAATTACACCTAACACTCTTTTCTTTACAATTTCATTATTAGTGCCTCTATTAGTTTTTCCACTCATCTCATTTTTATGTTTTTAGCTCTCACCCATTGAAAAATAAAGATAAACCCATCACTTTCAAACATTTTTACTTTGAATCTCAGTTCATCTCTTTTTTACTTTTTTAAATTTTTATACTATCCAAACAAAAGATTCTAAACATGTAGATTTTAAACTTAAATTTAAATTCAAATCCATCCATACAAACATTGGCTTAAAAAAATGTGGTTTTCAGTCTTTGAAATAAAGAACACACAAGTTTGTCTTAATTATTTGTTTGACATTTGTTTGTTTAGAAGTTGATTTTATATACTCTTTTGAGAGGGAAAAAAAATCTCCTTAATTCATATGCTTTTCATTATTAGTATGTGAAATCTTATGTCACTTTTTTTTGTGGGGTTTTATTTTTAGGATATGATCTTTCCAAAGAAGTTTTTGCTGGAAAATAATCCATGTCCACTACACAATCTAAAATATATGAAATTACAAATGATGAATAATCCAAAGGTCAAACAGCAGTGAAATTGGTGGAGAGTTTGCTTTGGTTGGCGCCTAAACCCTTGCAATTGACGCTCACTGATTACATGGACAGAATTAAAACCTTGAAGGTACGTTTTATTGAACTTTCATTTATCAAAAGTAACAATTGATGTCTGCAATAGGAACAAGGTTTTCTATTTTGAATTTAATTGCATTTTTGTCCCTTACTAATTTGTTCAAGAGCGTTTGGTTTGCTAAACTTAAATGTTATAATTTTCTTCTTCAACATTGTACTAGGCACTCTATCATATAAAAAACATAATTTTGACTATTAATTGACCTAAAAGTTATAGAAAATGACTAATAAAATTACAAATAAGTATCATATAAGAAAGTTAAAATCAATTGAAGGAGACTTGATGATACTACATGTTCATATCGCGTACTTATATGTAATTTTGTGGGTTTTTTCTATAATTTTTTGAGTTCTTTTTTTCAATTTTTGAGTCAACTACATTTGAAAATTAATTTTTTTAATAGCAAGGTGTCAATGTACTATTTTCTAAATTTGAAGGTAGAAATTAAACCACATAAGTTCAGAAAATCAAAATAAAATTACAAATAAGTATCATATAAGAAAGTTAAAATCAATTGAAGGAGACTTGATTGATACTAATGTTCATATAGGGTACTTATATGTAATTTTGTGGGTTTTTTCTATAATTTTTTTAGTTCTGGGTTTTTTCTATAATTTTTTAGTTCTTTTTTTCAATTTTTGAGTCAACTACATTTGAAAATTAATTTTTTTAATAGCAAGGTGTCAATGTACTATTTTCTAAAGTTGAAGGTAGAAATTAAATCACATATAAGTTCAGAAAATCAAACATTTCTAAGCAAATAGTTGAAAAACAAATATTCTTTAACTCTTATCATTTTATAGCCATATAAAAAAGCATATATTGAAACGAATTTGAAAATATTGCAGTTTGAATATGGTGAGAAATTGGAGAGGACGAGGGCAAGATGTTGTTTGGAAGTTCCCATCAAGTGTTGGCGACACTATGAGCTCAAAGTAGACATTCAAGGCTTCAATCATTGTGGGACAAGACGCTTGAGAAAATTCTTTGCTACTCCTTAATTATATGCACATTCCATATTGGACTCAAAAGATTAGATACCCCATTGATCTCTTTGATGTTTGTAATTATGTTCTCTAAAATTGCTTCATAACTTTTTAGTTGGAAATGACAAATTCTCCTATTCTATGCATCCGCATGTATCTATCTAGTTTCTTAATCATATGTGCTATTAATTATATTTGGTAACAAGCAATGTAGCATTAATTATAATTGATTAATTAATATCTTGTCATATGATGACTTCATTATTTGATCAGATAATTTGGTTGTTATTTTATCAAAAAGGTTAAATTATACACTATTTCCTTAAACTTTAGACCATATACGTATATATCTTTTTAACATTTAAAACTTTATAATGAACTCCTTCGTCTATTATATTTATTCAGATAACCTTGTATAATTAATTTTATACATTAATTATCTATATATAATTTAAAATTTAGAAGAGTTATCCTTATATCAATCAAAGTTTGATGGACTTAGATGCACACAAAAATCAAGTAGTTTAAGGCGGTATATCATGGCTAGGGGTTGTTACTCTCAACTTCTCTCATCTTTTTTGTTTTTTTGGAAATTACAAGGTAACCAAAGCTTGAAACTAAAATTAAATGCTAACTAGTAAGACAAACCTAAGACTTGTTCAAAATAATCTTGCTCCAATTTTGAAGCAGAAAATTAAGATAGGAGGGAGTACTTTTCAAAATTCAATTAGCATTAATAATTATGTAACAAAACAGACAATACAATCAATGTGCATATACTTGCAAAAAAAAATATTTACCTTATAAAGGATTTTTTTTAAATATTACCTTTTATTAAGGATTGAAGGGAGTAAAATAGAGGACTTAGGCACATAGACCATCAACATATAGGGGATCAGTTTCCCTGCTCATCACATGGTGCTCATCCTGTGATGCAATTTAGACCATCTAGATTTTAATTTGCATGGTCTGAATTTTAATTTAAATGGTCCAAATTAAAAGTATTCTTATATTTTTTTTATATTTATTAAAATAAAAATTTATAAAAATTATAAAATAATTTTAATATTTTTTATTTTTAATTTGATCTAGATCTAATTTGGAGGGTTCAATTCAATATTAAATTTTTTATAATTATTATATATTGACTATTCAAATGTACTCTATACAGTCTAAATTTAATCAAGTGTTAATTTGGACTATGCAAAGTACACTTGAATAATCAATATACATTAATTATAAAATTTTTAATATTAAATTGAACCTTCTAAATTAAATTTAGACCATATTAAAAATAAAAAATTATTAAAATTATTTATAATTTTTATTTTAATAAATATAATATGTAATAATACTATAAATCTAGACCATTCAGATCAACAAGGATGAACAACAAGGAAACCAATTCCCAACATATAAACAAGAAGATAAATTCACACCATGACACTTGTACTTTACTTCATAACAAGCAGTGGTGAAGAGAAGGGGACCAGCAAGGGCTGCGGCCCCCCCAATTTTAAAAAACTTTCTTTATATTATATAGGTGTTACATACTTTTGACCCTCCTAAAATTTATAAAAACTTTATAGTATATATATTTTTTTTAATTTTGACTCCTCTTATACTTAAATCCTGGCTCCGCCCCTGATATAGCAGCAAATTTTACACTCCATTGGCCACATGAAATGCCCTCATTCCTAGTTGAAAATAATTCCAATGTAGAGTGTGGGATAATCTTTGACCTTTCTTGAACAATTTAGGTTGTTCTTGCTTCTAATTGAAGCCTAGTGTAATGTGTAATATGTAAGACTTGTGTGTGTCAAATCATTTGAAACCTATAAATTAGGCTAGTCTAAGTTGCAATGGCAGTTATGTTAGTGTTTGGACCATTTTTTGACATGAAAAATTTGTAGACTCACAATTGAAAGAGAGAGATTGTTGGGTTGTTAATTGTGAGTGTACTTATGTCAATAAGAAAAGTCTTATATCGGAAAAAATTAAGCTTAATTATTAACTCAAAATCTCATACTCAAGTTTATGAGTCCTATCAATCTTCATTCATTTGTCCTCTCATTCAATTTCTAAACGATTGCTTTTTATTCTCAACAAGTGGTAGAAATGACTTGCTAAATTTTTTTTAATTTTTTTAAAAATAATCTTAAATCATATATTTAATATTAGTTTTAAGAGTGCATTTAGGGGTTTATGATTGAATGAAAAGAAATGATTATTAATAGAATGGAGTGGAATAGAATAAAATTTTTCATTGTTTAGGAGTTTTATGATAAAAAGAAACAGTTTTACATGACTATTATTTGGGAGTTATTATAAAATCAATGGAATAGAATGTATTAAAACTTTGTTCTTTTAATATTACTCATGTGACTAATTTTTTTAAAAAAATAATTTCCATTTAAATAATTATAATATTTGTTCAACAAAAAAAATAATAACTAAAATTAATGGTCAAATAAGGTATGCAAAAATTAATAATAAAAAGAAAAAGCAAGTAGCAAAGCTATTCAAGCAAACACACTTGTTGGACAAGAGGAAAACACATCAAAATCGTAGTGTTGAGAGGGGCGGAGAGAGAGATGGTGGGAGGCAAGACAAGTGGCTAAAGAATGAAAATAATAAATAAATTTTTTTTATTAGGGTAAGAGGCTTAAGGCAATTTTGTAAATGAAATAATTATATTATATCACTTTATATGGGGGAATAAAAGAATTAGAGCTATATGTCATAAGGTCATTACTCTATCTTTAAAAAGAATGTGCAGCGCACCTGCTTATATAATAAAAATCCTCCCTGAATCTCTTTGATGTGGGAAGTAACAACTCTCCCGGCTAATCAAGGAAGCTTCCTGTTATAGGCGGCCCATCGAATGGATAAACTTGACTTTGGTTTTGATACCACTTTATCATAGAGTCATTATTCTTTTCTCAAAAAGTTAACCTAATGACAGTACACCCATTTATATAGTCAAGACTCTCTTCAAGTCCCTCTGATGTGGGACTTAACACGTGAATCAAAGCCTTTCTTGCCATTTATCTCTTTTTTAAAAAAAAAAAACTCACAAACAATGGCCTAAGCTTTTTAACCATCTCATGTCATTCTATTTCCCCCTAAAAAAAAAAATATCTCCCAAACATAGTGTAAATAATTAAAGATGGACTAACCTTGTATATTAATGGAATCCTCTATTCTAATAAGCTTTAAAAAAGCAAACGCTAGAAAAATTCACTACAGATGGGAGAAAATAATAATAGTTGGATCACAAGTAAAATCAGGAATTGAAAGTAGATGAAACAGCACCAAATTCACTCCATCAAACAACACCACAAAATACAAATCACTCACTCACGAGCACACATTAAGCAAAGGAAAGATGACTTTCTTCACCTCAATATACTGGACTTTTCAGAGGCCAGGCTACTCACCACTCTCAATATTTTAAAATACTCCACCCCCACTCTCTGCAAACGTGGATGATTCAAATATAAAAATCTAATAAAACTGCTCGCACCCTCTCTGACCCAGACCTACACTCTTTTGCCACGTTTCTCTTTCTTTTTCCATGTGGCCAGGACCCAAAGAATAATCCCTTGACCCAGCAGTTTTGGTTTTGCCCCTATCTGTCCGTTTCTCCTTAATTTTCTCCCAGAGGTCTTAGCAACCTAGCAGCTCTATCACATACCCAAAAAAAAAACCGAAAGGGATGGACTGAAGCCCAAAGGCTCTAAGACAGATTGAAGTATACAGAATGATTCAAACAGGGTCAGTGTTTGAAATCTAGGCCCAGTGTTGAAATTACCAACAAAAATGGACATAGTTTCTTCATCCTAGTCCACAATTGAAGGCTCAGTATGACTCTAACAAAATAAAACTCAAAATGAAAGCCCATATTTTTTATATCCTTCGATGAGATCTAACGGTTCTCATTCTGCCACGTCTCCTATACCTCTTTCACTTACTGTGTCGCTTTGTCTCATGGTTGAGTATCTCCGCCCCGAACTCCGATCTCCTTCTTCTTCAAACCAACTCTTACTTGTCGAAAATGCTTGCGCGCCTCGCGGCGAAGCGTTTCAATGAGATCCGTCAAGCTTTCCGCCAGGTTTGCTTCATTTTTTTTTAATTCTCGTGAATTCACTTTCGTTTCCCTTTTTCTCCCAACCACTCGCTGACATCGTTTCGTGTTTTCGTTGCTTTTCTTTTCTTGCAGCCATCAAGGGCCTTCTCCACGGCTCTGAACTATGTAAGGTCTCTTTATTACAGTTTAAATTTCAAAGTTTTCACCATTTTCTTTCATTATTTATTGCGTTAGCTTGTTTCATACAATGGTTATTGACTGAGTGGATCTCTACGACTTGGGCAGCACATTGACTCCCCAGATAACAATCCAGACCTTCCATGGGAATTCACGGATGCCAACAAAGAGAAGGTAATTTTCCAATGCTCTGGGGTTAAAGAATTCTAATGTTGCTTGTTGCCAGCATTGGTTATTTATCGTTATGTTACTATAGAGCTCAAAATGCATGCGAAAGTCCTATGCTACTATTGATTATTCGTTTAGGAGAAAGGAAGTCTGATATGTGATGATATATCAATATAGTTCAGCATACAGTGTAAAAAAAAGGAAAAAACGAAAGTGGGGAAGCAACCGCTGAAGTTCTGTGTTCCAATTGTCCTTTTATGATATAGCCCTCCGATCCTATTTATAAAATGTTTTCTAAAAGTAATTTTTAATCCAAAATATAGGACACCTTACAATAATAAAACACTTTTTTCAATGTTACCCCTTCTTGATCAACATGAAGAAATTTAATGTAGTTGTATTATTATTTAGAGTCAAGAGTAAAAATGAATGTACATCTTATTTTTTGTAATAGCAAGAAAAAAATTAACTTTTTTAAGACACGTGAAATGGTAAAAGTATTTTATAATAAGACTGAGGGTAGTATTTAGTTAAATCTGTAATGCCTGATTTTTTTTTTTTTTTGCTTTTTATCTGGATTCTGTCGATAGGAGTGGATGCTTAAGGTTACCATATCAGTTGGCTAAGAGCGTAATAAGAGATGTTCTGGGGTCTAGAGCTTGATGGTTAGTGAGCATTAGTGTGACATCCTTGTTTAGTTGGAAGAAAGTGAATATATGCCTTGGGTTTTATGGTCTTTTGCTATTGTAAATCCTGAATGTAGTTTAATTACACCTGTACATCTTTTGTGCTTGATATGGCACTGAGGCAAAGTCTATTACAATGTAATTTAATGAAAAAGAAGAAAAATGTGAAATGTTAGATGCCCTGCATTGCTGGATAAAACATTGTGCTTTACTTCTTCCTATTCTATTGTGTCAGGGAAATATTCAGGCTTGATTTTGAGCCTTCAATAGGTAATCAAGAAATGTGGGGCTCAGTATGTTAAGTTGTTCAAATGTCACGTTTGTCATATGGATTAAGCGAGTTCTAGTGTCATCTATTCCAATCCCTGTCTTTGAACAAGTTATCCAAAGAATAATTTGTGCTTTTACTAAGATGCATTAAAGTCAGTAACATACATTATGTCAGGATAATGTGAGTGATGATCAATACATGCGTCGTGCTGCTTGGCAAATCAGTATATTGACCTTAATAAGCCCCCCCAAAAAAAAAACCTTTTTTTTAAGATAATTTTGTTTAATTACACTGGCATATGCTGCTTATTCATTAATTTATACGGTTCTTACAATTGCTTCCTGGTTTTCAGTGAATATAGTCCTACATTACTTTATTGCTTAGCCATACACAAGTATGTAGGTCAGTTTGTTACTTCAGCAAATGTGGCTTTTGACTAGTGAAATTTTGTGGTGTGCATTTTGCTGCTATATCACACGTTTACCTGTACAAACTAGATGTTTTTCTACTTTATTGACCCAGTTTAACTCAGACATGTAAAAACAGGTTGCTGAATCAGACAAGTTAATTAAATGTCGAGTTCATGGATTAATGCTTTATCAATTGATTCCGTTACAAATTTACAATGTGTCAAAGAGATAGGATAAATCTACATTTCAGTAGATGTACATTGTACATTGTGATGTGTCCTTGTGGGTGCATCCCACTTATTACCGATTATGATATTATTGAGTTTTGAACACAGGTTAAGGAGATTATATCTCACTATCCATCCAACTATAAGCAATCTGCAGTTATCCCTCTGTTGGATCTTGCACAGCAGCAGCACGGAGGCTGGCTCCCAGTTTCAGCAATGAATGCAGTATGTTTGGTTTCATGCTCAAATGATTCTTTTTAGTAGTCTGGAAAGTATCAAAGTAACATGTCTCATACTCTTAGGAAGTTTTATACATAAAAGGGTGTTACGCAGAAATTTTCCAATGAAAAAATGGATTTGTTTTGCTTGATAAGAATTTCTGTTATCTACTTACTGGAAAAATGTTGTTGGATTCAATATAAATATGGCCCTGTCTGGGGAAATGGTGATTGTGTGCCCATTCTTTTGTTACAAACGATTACTCACCTGCTAGTTGTGCTGAATTGAAATTGTTTATTAATCATAGTATGCATGGACTAGTTTCACGTTTCGGTAATGTTTCCACTCCCATGAAAGCCCTAACCTATTCTTGATCATGATCTTGGTGATTGAATTCGATTAATGAGCTGCAAAGATGACACTATGCAATTTTTTTCTATGATAGTTAAAATGAAGCTTTATATGTTTGATTTTTTGTGGGGTATACCTCATTTTGCTGAAGCATCATTTTGTTGGTTGCCTAGTTTGTACACTTGAAGTTTCTTTATGCAACAAGGTTGAATATAGATGTTACACACAAAAACATACATATCACATGTGTGAAGAAACCGCCCTGTCATTGTTTGGTTTAGTTAACTTATATCTTCCAATTACCATGGATTTACAATTGAACTATGAAATGGCCAAACTGATGTTTGAAATATTAAGATATAGTGAATACATACATTTATTTGTATGCGCACGTAATAGCCAGAAGTTAGTTAAATATTCTATTAAGTAATTGTATTATGAATTGCTTAGGTGGCAAAGATTATTGAGGTTGCTCCAATTCGAGTATATGAGGTCGCCACATTTTACTCAATGTTTAACCGGACCAAGGTAAAATGCATATTATGATTTAATACTTCTATATTTACGTGTCCTCAATAAGACAATTTTAAGCATATCTGCATAAATTGGTGTGATTTCTTAGGTTGGGAAGTACCATCTATTGGTTTGTGGAACGACACCTTGTATGATACGGGGTTCACGGGAAATTGAAGAAGCTTTATTGAAGCACTTGGGGGTGAAACGCAATGGTCAGTTATCAATCTTGTATTGCTCCCATTTCATTCAGTAACCAGATTTTATTCTTGACACTTGGAAACAATGATGTTTTTTTGAGAATTAATTTCTTTGGATATCTCATTTGCAGAAGTAACAAAGGATGGTTTGTTTTCTGTTGGAGAAATGGAATGCATGGTAAGTTTTTACGCAATATTTTCATATCGCTGTGATGACGATTGTTATGGTGTAATAGATGTGACTGTTTATTTATACGGTAAACCTGTGCAGCTTCAATATTTTTGAAGAATTCTCTTGGGTTGTTTTTGAATTACTTCAATTCATTGAGAAAATTTTAAAGAAACATCAAGAACGAACTTCACTGTACATTAATTAATATCTAACTGAATAAAAATGAAGTTCCTACAAATAAGTTACCACATATCCAAGAGCAATGTGATCCAAAAAAAAATTTGCTGCCTGCAGGTTATTGGGTTTTGCCAGAGATCGGATCATTATGATTGAATGAATCTTTTGTTGTTATGCAGGGATGCTGTGTGAATGCTCCTATGATTACAGTGGCTGATTACTCAAACGGATCCGAAGGGTATACCTATAACTACTATGTACGTACTGTTGTATTGATCATAGTAATGATTCTTTTGTTTCCTTCTGAAATATCTTGGAGCTTAACATGACTTGCCTGTGATTCATTCCAGGAAGATGTAACCCCAACGAGAGTAGTTGAGATAGTAGAGCAGCTGAGGAGGGGTGAGAAGCTGCCGGTAAGGATATCAACGAGGAATATCTTCATTGATCTGTTCATGTTTAAGATTCTCATTCTTTCATGCCCTGAATTTGAATCTCTCTTTGTATTATATAGCCTGGCACCCAAAATCCTAAGCGGATCAAGGCTGGACCAGAAGGAGGAAATACTACTCTATTAAGCGAGCCAAAGCCGCCTCCATGCCGTGACCTGGATGCCTGCTGAAGTATGATGCTTTTGCTTTCAATAATGTAAGGCTCACAGACAATGGACCTTGCTTTATTCGTTGTATTGATGAATTTTCGGACACACCCAATTTTTTGTATCTGCCTTCCAGGATGGTGTCTCTCCTAAAATGGTCCATAAAATGCCATTAATCTCTTGTGTTTCCTACTGCATCAGTGTTATCTATACATTAATGGTAAAGATGATGAAATCCGAGCTTACCCTGATTTCAAATAAGTTGAATACCCATATCTGGTAGTAATAAACCAATTGCTACGACAGTTCAAGTATATGATCATTTTTTTCATTTGGTTAAGTAGAATGTGCGAATAATAAGGTTATTGTAATGTCTTGAATCATTTTCAATCTTGTAAGAGAAAGTTAATACCAAACCTCTGCCAGGTTACCGGTAAATGAAGTCTCAGGAACATTATTGTTTTTATTATCAGAGGAAGCTGGCATGGCAAACATGAATTTTTTTTTTTATTTTTTATTTTTTGGGATAAAAAGGATAAATAGTTCCAGATACACTAGGAAATAAAAAGAAAAAGAAAATTAAAAACAGTAAAAAAAAAAAAACTGGAAGCTAAGACAAGGGGGGCACACGTCTGCAAGCATAGGTTTCAAACGCTAACTCCCAACAAAGGCCGCATTGAAGTCATTGAGAAAAGAGCAAATATTATATGCAATTTATTGAACTAGAGCCTCTAACTAAAAGTTTACCGAAAAAAGAAGTTCGGCAGGTAAAGAAGATTGAGTACTTGAGATTGAAGATCCCCAAAAGCAGGAGTTATAGTTAAGGTCGAAAGTAAGGTTGAATGCAAGCATAGAAATTCAAAGTCGCTCAAATTTGAAGATCGGCGCTTAGTCTAAGAGAACATGATAATCTGTTGTTTGTCCTGAAGAACCAAGATTTGAATTATAGTTAATAACCTCTGCTTTTCCTTGATACATATGAAGCTCCATCCATCTCATTAGAAATATGGAAGACTTCGTCTAGTAACAGTCACAACCCGGTTCCTTAATCCTGATGGAATATTGGTCACACTGATTCTAGATGCATGTAGATTAATTTCATGCCAGGTACATATATGTTTTAGAAACAAGTACAAATGGTGATAATTTTGAATAGCTTTGTAAAGATCTAGCGTGTGACTATCATGAATGATAGAGTTCCTAATATTTCAAATACTGTGGATTAAAATAATGAATTTCTCTAAAAAATCAATTTTCTCATCTAGAATAAGATGATTAATGAATTCCTTCAAAGATTTCGGATAGTTTGAACAATCCAAAAAATAAATTTTAGGGACAAAACACTAAACTAAAGAGCCTTAAAAAAGGACATTCGAAAAGAAAAAAAGTGTGAGGAATTGTTTCTTCAACCTCGCATCCAAAGGAACATGTGTTATTAGAATGCAAGTGATGCCTTTAAAAAATATCCTTACTGGGAATTACTCCATGAAGAAGCTTCCAAAAAAAAAAAAAAAGACAAGATGTTTTGAGGGAAAATTAAGCTTCCAAAAAGAAGACCAAGGGGATTTATCAGAATGAGTACTAGCCAAATTGGAAGTAAGAGATTTGTAGCCTAATCTTGAACTGTAAGAGCCAAAGAGACACCCTTTTCATACCAACTTTTCCTGTTGCCTCAAGAGAGAAATGGGGATAGAAGAATGGTTTTGACAGATTAAATTTGTTGTAGGACATTAGCATTCTGTCGAAATGGAAGCCAGGGGGAGTTGGTACAAGAAATAAGATCAGATACATAGAGATGCTTAAAATTTGAATTAGATGGAAGGGACCCTTCCCAAAATCTATTAGTAAGCTTAATATTCCTCCTATTACCCTTGATTAGAGCAAGTAGGAGAATCATCAAGTGATTGAATCAGCCTCTAGATCTTAAACTATATGAATAGGTTTGAGTCCCGTACCTCCCAAGTGCTTGGGTAGGAAGAAGAGATCTTTGTTTGCTAGAGGCATCCTTTTCTTATCATTTTGAATGCCCAAAAAAAAAAAAAATCAATACATTTAACATCAATCTTGTTACAAATTGACAAGGGTAATTTAACACGAGAGCTGATAAATGATAGCAGCAGATAAACATAAAAGTCTATTTAAATGAATGTACTGCTTGTTTGGATAAAGGCCAAAATTGATTTTTTGGATCAAGTTATCCAAACAGCAATATTTGATATAATTGATTATTTTGCTTGAAATTGCGTTTTGCCTTAAGTTGATATTCTCAGTTTTTCAATTTCAATTATGCACATTGAAACATTTATTGTTTGTCAAAATTTTTGAACTGCCAAATATACCCTTGACATTTCATGACTTATGATTTATGGCATTATGTGGATGGAGATATCTTCTTTGCACCAAATATATCTCCAGACGAACATTTAACTTGGCATTCATTTTGTGAAAAGTTATAAGCATTTATTATATACATGTATTAAATAATTTTTATAAATATTAAATATATCACAATTATATTTTTGTCAAATAAATCAAGATTAATTTGATAATATAAAAAAATAATCTTTTGATCTCTATAATTTTAACATAGTTATATATCAATCTTTAAATTTTAATTCATTATCACTCAATCTTTATAGTTTTGACTTTTTTAATTTTATTTTTTAAAATACAGGACTAATGTTTTAAAAAAAGTTGAAAAAACTTATAATACAATCAATTATAATTAAAATTAATTATATTAATTAATTATTTTATACTTAATAATAAATTTAAATAGACTGGTAATATGCTACTGATACGAGTTTATTTATTTATTTGGTGTTAAAACCAAGAAGTTCTTTGTGTTTCTTCGATTACTTTACTAAGCTACATGCAATCGTCCGTGGCATTGTACTGGTCCCCCAGCACACTGACTCCAGTCTCAATCTAGAAAGCCATTTGTTGCCAGACAAATTATTTGAAACTTGTCGAAAATAATTTTAGATATGATACATTATATCAAACTTCTCTTACTTTTTCTTTCTCTGGGTTAAAGTTACTTCTTTTTTTTTCTGGCTTAACATAAATATTTTATCCACAAAATTTGATATTTAAGGAAAACTGAGTCTTTTTCTACTTGTTAGTACTATTAACCCCTTTTTTTTTATCATATATTAAGAAATACTCCTCATCTTTTTTGTAACTTATTTATATCAATCTTATCAATATTAATATAAAAAAATATAAAGACTAAAAGTATGTAAAATTTTAAATATACCTCTATATAGTAAATTAAAAAAGTAATATTATATTATTTTTTTTCTTTCATGAAAAGTAATTTTAAAAATACATTTAAATATTACTTAAAAATTCATGCCGTAACTTATAAATGGAACCAAACGGATCTTCTAGTATGTGATTTATAAATAGGATCGAAGGGAGTAAAAATAAATAAATAAATCAGTTGACTTTTGGAGCCATTAAATGGCTAATATATGCTCTAATAAAAATTTAGGAGAATGATATTTGAGTTTAAAGACAGGAAATTAATGACAATAATATTTTTGACAAAATTTTTTTAAAAATGATTTATGAATATTAATTTAAATAATTAGAAGTTTAAAAGTTTCAATTAAAAATAGAACATATAAATTCTAAATGAAACCTTAATTTGCCATTAGAATTTTGGTTTGCAATTATCTAAGTCAATATTTATAACTTGTTTAAAAAAAAATACTTGTCAAAAACTTAACTATTATTATTATTATTTTAAAATTTTACTGTCATTCTCCTTGAAACTTTTGGTTTCAACTAAGGAACCCAGCATCTACTCTTGTAATTGTGATACACACACACACATATATATGTATATAAAATTATGATCGTAATTGATAAGTTTGTTTTAATTTTTCTTAAATTAAATTCCTAGCCTCTTTAGGCTCATGAACACAAGCCCACACGGTCATCGTCATCAACGAGAATGTTTTGTTGTTTGTTGTACTTCACCACGAGCGGGTTACTCGAGTCTGGGCTCAAAATCATCAAGAGGTCCATCGTCTATTGTTCTACGAGATAAATAATCAAATAGCTGCGTTTTTAAGGAATCGATGATGACTGAGCAACCCACGTGTATGTTTCCCAACTGAAAGAAAGCAAGCATCATCTTCACCTCCAAGATTCGATTCGATTTCAGCCCTTCAGCTTGAGGTCTCTTCCATTTTCCCTCTCCCATACTCTCTTGCTCTCTGTTTCGGTTCCCAGAAAATTCTGATATGCCCATTCGCCTTTTAATTGTATTCATGTGATCATGTGATAGTCGAAATCGATTATGGATCTTCCACCAATAAATTCTTTTCAAAAAAGTACTGTAGCATTTATATTATTTACTGGGTCGATGTTGATTGTTACTTATCACGTATGAGATTAATCCTGTTGTTGTTCTTCAACAGTTTGAAGCCGAGAAGATATGGGGAGTGCGTCGTCCTTGTTGACTCAATATGATATCGAGGAAGTTCAAGAATACTGCAATAATTTATGTAGGTCTCTGGGTTTAACATTTTTGTCTCCAAATTTTGCTGCCTTTGTTTAAGTCATGTCCACTTTGGTGTGAAAATCAGTTTCCCAGCAAGAAATAGTGGCCTTGTACGAAAGATTTTGTCAACTTGATCGTAGTGCGAAAGGATTTATTTCAGCAGATGAGTTCTTGTCTGTTCCTGAGTTTGCTTTGAATCCACTTTCTCAGGTAAAGAGTTGTTTCATGTTGAGATTCTGAGTTATTGTGGGATTTCTTCATTTCTTAATGATCCTATACTATATGATGGATGATTTGGTCATTTGCAGCGGCTGCTCAAGATGGTGGATGGTTTGAATTTTAAAGACTTCGTAGCCTTCTTGTCTGCATTTAGTGCCAAAGCAAGTGCACAGCAAAAAATAGAACGTTTGTGTTTATGGCAGCGTTATATGTTTTCTTCATCCTTTTGTACCTGTTTTAAGAAATTCTTAGGTGGATTTGGTCACGAATAAACATGTGAATATTTCAGAAGGTTTAGTTCTCTGCGATAGACTTGTCTAACTAAAAATCTCGTTAGTTTATTGCTTTTAGAAGAGCTTGAGCAATCAGAAAATGTAATTCTCCATTAGACACTGATTATAATGTGGCAGTTACAAATGCTGAATTTTCTGAACCGCGTGGCGTTAGACCTTAGACTTGTTAATTGATTGATTAAGTAGGCATAGTGGGTGGAGACGGACTGAAGTCGATGTTGATGTAAGCATGTAAAACTTTTGAGATAGGATTCGGTTATGGTACTATTTACAACCAGGAAATGTCCATTGTTTGATATCTCTCCACCAGATTCACCAATTGCTGAAGTTATAATAGCTTCCACCTAATATAAGTTAGGACTGCAAAATTCACATCATGCTTTTGTCAACAATGAATTGTATACGGTTTTTTCTTATTGGCGTTGGCGTTGGCGTTTAACTATTTATTGTTACTCGTATTTCTCTGTTGTAGTTATCTTCAAAGTATACGATTCAGACCGTAATGGAAAGGTGTCTTTCAAAGATATGTTGGAAGTCCTAAAGGATCTGTCTGGTCCATTCATGTCTGATGAACAGAGAGAGGTATCACCAAAGATCTACAAAGTTCACTCTATTGCTTAATTACTAATAAGCGCTTTTATTACTTGTTTGATATGTCTTTAAATCTTGGAGTACTAAAATGTAATTTCAATGAAATGGTGGATGAACTTTTTGTCTACTGGACTTAATTCTTGTGGTGAGTAATGGGTTGTGCTTGTTACAATGGCACTAATGATTTTTTTTTAAAAAAATATTTCTTAAGAATCCATTTTGTTTCTGCCTTTTTGAATTACCTGTTGACAAATTGCATTTCCATTTGATAAAAAAAATCTCATTTCTTTCAATTCCTCCTGAGCTGTTTCATCATGCAAAACAATTAATTCTACATGCCTCTTTGACTATTCTGATAGCTTGCGGCTTGAAATGGACCTTCACAAATTTTTTCTCTATTCTTTGGTCCTCAGCAAGTCCTGAACCAAGTTCTCAAAGAAGCAGGATACTCAAAAGATTCCTACTTGACATTGCATGACTTCATTAAGGTTTGTACATTTGAATACATAATTCTTGTGGCAAATTTTAATACACATTATGAGAGGAAGAACACTTTGAATGGATAAATTTGAGCCTTTTTTCTCTCTTCTAAAATCTGGTCCTCTAGAATATATGGGCCTATTTAACCTGTGAACCGTAATATGGAACATACTTGAGTTTCTTAATTTTTTTTTTTAATAATTTTCTTGGCCACAAGGGGAGTTCCTTATGAGATACTGTACCTGTTAGTGGATAGGGCTGCAGAAATAAAGTGGGAAAAACAAATAAATAACTGTTGATGCTTGGCATTAATGGATAATTTTATGGTGAAGGTACTTCAAACAGCTTGTCTAGTGCATTTTCAGTCATGCAATTAAGCCTCTTCATCAACCAATATATATAGTAAAATATAAAACAAGTTATACTATTTATGAGCCATAAATGCTAAATATTTCAACATACTTTAACTCCTAAGAAGCAGGGGACCCACAATTGAGTTGAAATTATAACAAGTTCATGTTACTGGGCATTTGAATTGGCTTTTCTTAGCATTTTTTAAGAATTTGGGTTGCTTACTCGGACATCACAGTTTATAATCGTGTGCGGTATCCATGCTTGGTGAAAAAGTCACTTAACAGGTCAAGAGTTAAGTGGGGAAAAAGGCGCATATTTCCAATATAGCTGTACATGTAGATTTGACATGGGTTACTTGGAGTTCATTCCTGTTTGTGGGGATATGTTTCTCTTCGATATATTTTCTAATGTTTTTATTTTATTTATCACAGGTTCTTGGTGGTTCTGACCTAAAAATGGATGTTGAAGTTCCTGTTGATTAGGATAGCCTGCAATTTTCTCAGCTTTCTTGAGAAACAAAATTAATCCTTGTAACATAGTTTATATTGAAATGAAAGTATACAAATACCAATGTTCCTTTTCATCTTGGGAATCAGGTCTTATTAGCCACAAACAGTACAAGATTTGAGGGTTAAAAAAGGAAGGAGAAATAGAAGTATGCAATTCTAATAGAATGCGGCAGCATTTCATTCTTCCACTAATTCCCAAAACAAACTTGAGCTTGTTATTTTTCTATGCACATGAAATTCCTGTTTAATTGCTGAATTTTTTGAGGACTTGTTTATATAAGCACGTCATAATTGGCCAAAAATGAATTAAATTATGTGATTAATTTAAGGTTGTTGGTCTTTGCCCAACCCAGTATACTATTTGATTTGTTCTTATCCAAGATGAAAAGAATCCGCTAAAACAAATATTTTTTATTTTAAATGTTCGTCTTTCATAGCTTCGTGCAAATCGTTTGTGATGAAAGTTATGGATCTTACCAACCACTGGGTACGAAATTGAGGTTATAATATTATTAATCATCAACTCTGAAAAGTACTAAACTAGATTGATGAAGTCAAATACCTTGCTGAATATAATAAAAGCTTCCTAATAAATAGAGTATTCAACAAGAAGCCAGCTTTGTGACTAGGGGGGAGTGAAGCTCAAATCTGCAGGAAACAGGGTCTGCTCAACTCTTGTACTCTCTTTCAAGGAAAGAAAAGTTAACATGATATAGGAGGGGTAGCATCCATAGAATGATCCAAGAAATTTAGATTTACTTTAGTGTGTGGTAAGAAACAATCATTCACTTCTGTTATATTTCCTTCCACCCAAGCTTCCACAATGTCTATTACTTGGTAAGAAATCAAAAAAAACCTTCTTCAATCACCTTGTGACACTCATGCATGATGCAGAGAGGCAGAAATTTCATATAATATCCCCCTAGTTTTCTGAACATCCTTGTGGCCAAAAGTTGACACACAATGGAGAGCCAGGTTCGTCATGGATTTGTTGCTGAGTATTTATATTCCTTGCAAAAATGTGAAGAAATGTTAGTCTTGTGGGATAAGGAAATGGCAGAACTTGAGTGCCATTTCAACTTAAGGGAGAAGCATTCAAAGTCTAAGAAGCTTAAGGTTGCAAGTAGCAGCAGCAAGACCAGAATGGTGATTGGAACTTCAGAGGCTTTTATGAATGCTTCTGAGTGTGTCCCTTGTATTGCTGATACTAAAAGCAGGCCAAGAGAAATGTACAGAATTAAGGATTGCAGAAGCAAAAATATGCTAAAAAGGGTTTTCCCAGTTGGTGAATTAGAACAACTTAATCAACGTCTGAAGATGCTTGAAGAAGATATGGAGAATATGAAGCAAGCTATACTTAGGCAAGTGAAGGAGAAGAGAAGGTTGGTGAACAGAATTTACCATTACTTTCAGTGTATGCAATATATGCTTTGGCATAGAAGTGAAGTAAAAGGAGAACAACTTTACCAAAAGAGATCGATTATCAAGACTCCAAAGGTATTGTCTTTTGTTCCAAATCATCCTACTACATGTTTGCTGCATTTGTGTAGATCATTCATAACAATTATCATTTTTTTTTTCAAGTTTATTACACAGGGAGAGATGTAGATTGCTTGCTTGGTCTTCTAGGAGATAGCAAGTGGTTGAATTAAGGGGAAATAAACTTCTAAAGGCGTTCATGTAGGTGCTCATTTGAGAAACTTCTTGCTTTTGGCACTAGCTTTAATCATGAAACAGATAAGCGGCAGCTGAATGTATGCATTCACATTTTCTATGGTTTAACCATAGCATTTGACAATCTTGCAGATATAAACACGTGTGTGTGTGTGTGTGTTTCCCTTTTGGCATGGAATTCTCCCCTTAAAAAGAAAATTTTCATGGTTTAGAGTAGTTTTCTTTTTCCCTTATAAATTTGGTAACATAACGTCCAAGGTCGAACTCTTAACTTTTCTGTGATCACCATGTTTCAGCAGGATTGTCAGGAAATTGAAACTTGTTCAAGAATCTAATGAAACATTGATAGATATTCACTTTCTCTTAAATTTGAGCATAAAGTTAAATGAGATGTACCTGTTGGATTAACACCATGGAAACTGAAGTGCATACTGATTTAGATCTTCATCATTTCCATTCATGGTTCTCTTATTGATTGTTTCACAATCCTTTCATGTTACAGGTTCTCACTGGCCTGCCAGAGGTTCTTTGTCATAATTTTAATCCATCGTTGATCACCAAAGGATTTCAAGCTACTACTTATTTTTCCAGGAAACTTCAAACTGATCCCACATGTTTATGATTCTTCCATCCACGACATCAATAAAGTGTTGTAACACTCGCGTAGTGTCCTTCCCCACCTCGAAAAGTTGCAGTCTTCTAAATTTTTTAGTGCATGCCTAGTACATGAAATATATATATATATATATATATATATCTTTTTAACAAAGAAATGGATGATGCATTAAAAAATGAGATAGGTACATTTGTCATTTCCTTTGTGAAAAACATTTTCTACCAATCAAACATTGTATTAAAGTCTGTTCATAGATCTTCCAGGCATACTTCGTGAACAAGACAATTGTGTCCTGCTGAAATGACCACTTCTATGCCATTCGCACGTACCCTCTTGCAAAAATGATGATGATGAATGCAAAGAGAAAAAAATATTAGCCGCTGATTCAATGACCGATTCCAGTAAATTATATTCAAATGAAAGATTTTACCCTTATTGCTGCATGCAAAGTGAGACCAATAACTTGGGTAGGAAAAATTATAATTGCGGCTACAATTCACCCAGTGAAAAGGATTATTGCCCCAATATAGCATTAATAGGCGAAAATCAATCCAAATGGAAGATGCACAGAGTGGATATCTATGATATGCAGTTCTTTATATTTCATCCTACACAGATAAGATACAACTATACATAACGGAGTGGCATTACAATCAAATATATATATATAAGCTAAACTAAACTCGTACACAAAGTGGTGCCTTTCAGATCTCTCCCTTGCATCCACCAAAACCAAAATAATCCCTTCTACTACTAGCAATGGCCATGCTTTTTCCGGTGTTCCAGCTTGGGACAATCGCGAATGCGATGATCGAGCCCACCACAATAGGCACAACCCTTGACCCCACTTTTACCTGTGATTTCGTTATTATCTTCCATTGGATCATTCGAATCCGCTAAAACAGGAGGAATGCGTTGTTTTGCTTCTTGCAACAGATGTTTCAAATCAAGCAAGGTTGTCTCACTTTGATTCGTGTTTACGAATGTTGTTGTTATGCCTGCCTTGCCACATCCTCCAGTTCGTCCAATCCTATGAACATAATTTTCCATTTCAGCAGGCATGTCATAATTAACAACATGATGAATATCAGGAAAATCCAACTCCTCGGATGCAACTTCAGTTGCAACCAACACATCTTTCTTTCTAGCCTTAAAGGATGCAATGGCATACTCTTTCTTCCTGATCTTTGCCTCCATGAACAGCCACTGCACCAACACCTTTCAGGAGGAGATATTCATGAATTTCATCCACATCTGACTTGTTCTCACAGAATATTAAAATTGGAGGTGGGTTTTTTTTTTTTTTTTTTGCAGGCATTCAAGCAGATAAACTATTTTTGCCTCTTGCTTAACATACTCCACTTCCTGGATTACACCAAGATTTGTTGCCCCCGGTCGCCCCACACTGATGATGATAACAGGTTTCACTAGGGCACTTCAAGCAAAATTCTGAATTTTGGTTGGCATAGTTGCAGAAAATAAGAGTTTGCCTTTGAGCTTTGAAGTGATCAAACACTTCTCTTATGGCATCTTCAAATCCCAAATCTGCCAATCTATCAGCCTCATCTAATGTTAAATACCTGCAACTATCCAGATTCATTTTTTTATTTGCCAACATATCCTTCAATATCCCAGGGGTGGCAACAAAAATATGAACACCGTTCTTCACAGCCTCAAGCTGAGATCTCATATCCACCCCACCAATGCAAAGCAAAGGCCTAAGTTCAGGATATACGGCTTCTCGCAAAGGTTCCAGAAACCGTTCGACGACCTCGTGAAGTTTGTCTAGCATGTTCCCTGGAAGGGCATACAATCAAACCAAATGGACCTTCTCCTGGAACAATAGGCATCATAATTTACTCCTGCAACGCCACCATGATCATTGGCAGCACAAAGACCGAAGTCTTTCCTGATCCTGTGAATGCAATCCCAATCATATCCCTCCCAGATAAGATCACAGGAACGCCTTGCACTTACTTGAATAGGTGTTGGCTGCACAATCCCTTTAACTTTCAACTTGTTCAAAACTGTTCAAGAACCTTCTGAGCCTCCATGGCCCTTCGCTTGGCCACAGGTACATACTGCACGTAATCATCATCTACTTCCATATCAACTACACAATTGACTTCCAAAATGCAGTTCCTATACCGAATTAAGAACAAATTATTGGCAATAGATGCAACAAAAAGAAGCGAACTTAACAAATAAACTAATTTTGGTACCCTACGATAATTTCACAAAAAGACAACCTCATCGTCCACGACTGTTCGTAGAGAGGTAGGAACTTTGCACTTTAGAATTGAAGGGGGGAATGCATGACCATGATAACCGAGGATGATCTCCAATAAGGAAGAACTAAGTGTCAACTAATAATCGGTTGCCGTTGTTCCTGTCAGAGGTCATACAAAGATGAAACCACCGACAAGTTTTTAGCCGCCAAAGCAAGCGTTTTTAGGCTTTTACACTATTGATTTTTTTTATTTTTTTTTACGATGACATGGCATTTTTAAACACAAAATCGAACAGCTTGGATAGGAGAGAAAATCGATTTTTCAGCCCACAGTCAATTTTTTTGAATAAAATTATCTACACACCATAAAAACACAAAAATTGATTGAAGAGGCAAAACGTCCATTCGCTTTTATCAAAAGTTTGTCAAAAATATTAAAAAAAATTATAAAGACAGGTTTAAGAAAAAATTATAAAAAAAATATAATTTAATAAAAATAAAATTAAACTCTCATCTTCTTTTTTAATAAAATTTAAACTTTATATCTTCAATAAATTAATATTTAGTATTTAAAAATTAAATTATATATTAATTTATATAGTTAAAAATTAATTTTAATTAAATTATTTAAATATCTTTAATTCTATTAAAATTAATTTTAAAAAAACAGTATTTAAATAGTGTTATAATATAATTAATTTTAATTAAAATTTATTACTTAATTAATTATTTTTATAATCTATTATAAATTAAAATTCAAACGCACACTTAACAGTTAACACAAAACGCAAGGCACAGCATTTGGGGTCTGAAAACGTACCCAAGCTGTCGAAGAGGGACTAGCGGACTCGGGCTTGCGAGGAGAAGGAGGAGGCATCGAAGAAGGGAAGAGCAGCGGTCGAAGAAGAAAGCAAAACGGCGAACGTAGCAGTGCTTCGATCATCAAAATTTGTGAAAGCATTAATAATAATTACAAACTCTGAACCATTAAAATCCAAAAAAAAAAAATCTTATTACTTGCAATAAATTATTAAGTATCTTTTATTAATTTCTTGAATAATAATAAAAAATTATAAATAATTGACCTATTTTTTATAATTGACTCTCCCTACAAATAATCTCTAATATATTTTAGAGAGAATTTTAATAATAACCTTTAAATCATATTTATTTAAATTTAAAATTCTTAAATTTTTCAAATTTTACTATAATCGAGGGTACTGATTCGACATTGAACTTATAAAAAAATAACAAAATTATTTTTTATTTAAATGAATATCAAAATTGCTTTACTTCACTTTGTTATTGCTCTACTTTATTTATTTATTTACTTACAAAATGTTATCAATTGCTCTATTTCACTTATTCATTTCTCTGAAATGAAATCAAGTGAAAGTCTATCAATAAATAACTGAAGTAGGACAATGAATAATAGTCCGTAAGTAAATAAATAACATACAGTATATAAATCAATAAGTTATTTTGAGATAATTTAAACACCTAAAATGAAAACAAGTTAAGTAGAAAAATTTTAATATTAATTTAAATGAGGGATAATTTTATCATTTCTCTTAAAAATTAATATCAAATTAGTACCTCTATAATGCATTGAAATTTCAAAAATATAGAGGGCTTTGTTAAATAAGGATGATCTAAGGGTTTTTATTAAAAATCTCCCTATATTTTATAAATTTTTCAAAAGATTTATCTATATATTGATGATTAAAAAATTATAAACGATGGGCTTGCAATTCACAACATAAATTATCAACTGATATTACAAATAATTTTAGATATATTTTCTTGATTTCTCAAGTGATTTATTTGTATATTGGCAGCAAAAATTTAAAATGCATAGCTAATTCTTGTAAATTGTAAGCTGATGTTACAAATAATTTTAAGTATATTTTGTTAATTTTTTAATTGATTATTCACATTTTTTTAAGAGAAAATATCATTCAAAGACCGCTAAGGATATTTAATATTGAATAAGGATCAAAAGATTATAAAATATCAAACTAGAGGATTTTAGATGGGAAAAGATTGTAATACCTCTACTTAAAAAAAATTATTAATAATTAGCAAAAGACTTCTTATTAAATAAAAACGAGTACTTGTTAATTTATGAATGTTTACTTGTTAAAATTCAATCTACATTGTTCTTTATCACAATCAATCTTTTTCATATTTTTAAACTTGTCAATAAGTGGATGACTTTTTATTAAATGGGAACAGGTACTTATCAACTAATAAATAGTTACTTGTTGAAACTTTGATTTATACTTGTTCTTTACCACAATCAAGCTCTTTCATATTTTTAAATTTGTCAATTAACAAATGACTTTTTATTAAATATAAATGAGTACTTGTTAATTAATAAATAATTAGTTATTAAAATATAGTCTACATTTATTTTTTTTCATAACCAAACTCTTTTAGATTCTTAAACTTGTTAAGTAGTGAATCACTTCTTATTAAATACAAACAGGTATTTATTAATTATCGAATTACTACTTATTGAAACATGATATATACTTGTTCCTCCTCATAACCAAGCCTTTTTAGATTTATGAAATTATTAATTAGTAAATGACTTTTTACTAAATATAAATAATTACTTATTAATTAATAAATGATAACTTGTTAATTAAAATAAAAGCAGTTGTACTATAGTATTTTTCTCACCTAAAGTTATTTTTAAATTAGTCACTTAGTCCTGCAGCAACATTTTAAAATATTTTAGTTCTTATCGAATATTAATTATCCTTAACAGTCTTGAACGATATATTTTTTTTTTTAATTGCAGTACTAAGATTTCCAATTATCATTAACATTGTTGTGGGTCTTTAATTGTCATTTTGCCAAAGGTTCTTTTCTTTTCTTTTTTCGTTTCTTTTTTTTTTTTTAAGGCACAGACCAGATCGTTCCAATCTTCTCCCGTCGGCGACGGTGCCGATCCATCCCACGATTCCGATCTTCTTCTCAACTTGAGCAACCTCAATCGACGCGTCAGTCTCTCGATCTCAGAGTCACAATCCCATCCCTCCATCGACGGTTTGTGAGTTCTCGTTGTCCAAAAGACCACAAGTCTGGCTCAGCGTCATTCGGTCACTCCTTCTGGCAATTTCTCTCAGCCTCGCCTCACTCTCTTCGGTCTCTTGTATTGTGTAAGTCATTTGCTTCCTCTTCACTTGTGTGAATGGTTTGATCAACGACATTGATTTTGTGATAGCTGTTTTCTTTAAAATACATTTTCAAGATTATTTTAACATCATGAGTGTACCTCTGAACACTGGATAGCTCGTTCTCTTCTATTTTTTTTTTATTTTGTTTCTTTCAGGTCTGCTTAACCATGTCTTTGAGAACTGTGACTAGAAAGTTGGGGAATGAACTCTTGCCCATGTTATCTTCCACTTCCAGGCTACATTCTCATGCCACCAGTTTTGGTTGGTTTAGATTCTCTTACTCTCTAATTTACATTGCGTCTGATCTTTACTTGCGATGCGCATATTGTACAATTCTCTTAATTTCTGCCTTTATTATTATTATTTCTTTTTTGAGTTTTCATTCGGGTAGAAGTATGTTAAATTCTCAACAGAATACCCTTCCAGCTCTAAGTTTACGAATTCGTACAACCAAAAGATTGGAACACCCTTGGGCCCCAAATGTTTAAGCTAGTTGAGCGGTTTGCTTTGGTCCTAAATGTAAGACCTTAATCCACCTTGTCCCCCATATATATATTTTTCCCGCTCAAACTCCTGTTGGTACTCCCTCAACAATAATGGAATGCAGCAATAATTTAAATGCAACAATTCATTTGACGGAAATCAAGGTACATTTTTTACAATTAACGAATTTATCTAACTTCCTTAATCTATACAAATTAGTTAAGTGGCTCCTGCATTTAAGAATGAACAGGGTATTTGTTATTATGAAACTAGTTCCTGGAAATTATAGGAGTAATTGCTTTCGCATAGTTTGTCATCTACATGAATGAAAATATATTAAATAATATTAACCTGAAGGTTGAAATGTAACAGGAAACATTGAACAAATTGCAATACATTGATTAAAATTTTACTTTGCTGAAAAATAATGATTTTTATAGAAGTGATAACTTGTTGAAATTTCAATGTGGAATAGAAACTGATCATCATATAGTACCTCAAGTTTTAAGGGAATAAATTGGTTATGTGATGCTATGCTGCTAGACAAAGCATCAACAAGTTGCCAATACTTTTGGTCTGCATTCTCAGATTATAACATGTTATCCCATTTGACACCCAGGATTTAAAGAAGTAAATGAGGAAGAAAAGGCCCGAATGGTTGGTAATGTCTTCACAAATGTTGCTGCAAGCTATGACGTCATGAATGATCTAATGAGTGCTGGATTACATAGATTGTGGAAGGATAGGTTAGATTATCGGCAGTTGTGCACTTTTTTAATCATTCCAAGTTGAATCCTTTTATGCTGGTTTCCTTCACTTAAATATGTGTTTTCTGCTCAAATTCTCAGACTAGTTTCCAAGCTGAACCCTTTTCCTGGAATGAAACATCTTGATGTGGCTGGGGGGACAGGTGAGCTTCCTTTTCACAATATATGTTTTATAATGCTTCTGCATGTAAGTTTGAAAAGTTATAAGTAAATCAGCATAGATTGGCAAAAAATTTATGCGAGAAAAATTATATATGCCTGGAAGGAAGTTAAGGATTGCACATTAAGTTATATCTTAGTCTCTTATTTGAAAGATGAATTGAGCTTACTATCTGCGTGAGTTTGCTGATTTATCCCTCTTTTCTCCATAAAGTGTTAAGCGTTTTGATTTGAGCAAAATTGGTCCACTTATGAAAACAGAAGTGTCAATATCTCATGTCCTTGATGCATATTTCTGTGCTAAAACTAAGTTATTTTCTATGGCGGGGACTGTTTAACATTATGTAACTGAGTGCTAACTGTCATACAGTGACGATGATATGGAGTTTTGAACAATTTCTAAAAGCAAAAAGGATATTAAGGTTATACAATAGTCATTTAACTTGCTCAGAGCCAAAGTTTCCCATGATATTCTCTTTTTGTGTTTGTTCAACGATTGTAATTGTATCACGAATATAGTTGTATGACCCGTTTTTCAGGTAAAGCTTGCTTGTCCTTTTCCCCCTGGAATATTCTCTTGTAAATATCGATAGAAATACAATGGCACAGGCGCTACTTATCTGTGCTAGACTTGAATAGCTTAAGGTGCATGTAATAATTTTTGTTTTTTGAACCAAACATATTCTTATGTGTTGGAATCCTGTGATCTATGGCTATGCCTTATATTTTCTTTGCATTTATTGTATTGACATCAACATTTTATTTCCCCTTTTAGTGCTCATTTATTCCCTGGTTTGTATGCTCTGTCTATCTCGAATGAGTGGCCTTCAAAAGAATAAGATAAACTCTGGCTGTTTTCTGTGGCCAACCCTCTATATATTTGCATTTTCGTTCTTCTAAAGAATAAGATAAACTCAGAGAACCAATAATTCTGAAATTCAGCAATTATTGATTTTATAGGGGACGTTGCTTTTAGAATCTTGGAGACTATAAACAAAGTTAAACTGAGAGGACTTCGAGATGTTCTTGAAGATACTTTAGAGGAGGAAACTCAAATATATGTTTGTGATATTAATCCTAGCATGTTAAATGTCGGCAAGCAAAGGGCATTGGAGAGAGGTAACCTAGAAGGCCTTCAAATGTTGGTCGTTAGTTTTAGACTTTAATACAGGAATATGGCTAACCTTATTCCTAATTCGTTTGAAGTGCATATTTTCTGATGATTATTATAGGTTTTGGAAAAGACCGCTCCCTTGTATGGGTGGAGGGAGATGCTGAAAACTTGAGTTTCAAAAATGATTCAATGGATGGCTACACTATTGCTTTTGGGATTAGAAATGTTACACACATAGAGAAAGCTCTTAACGAAGCTTATAGGTAAGCTTCACTTTTTAAGATATTTATGTACGCCGTAGCAGCTGAAAACTATCAATCAATTGAAATGTATGGCCAATAACCATTGCTTTCCTAAACAGGGTGTTAAAACGTGGAGGGAGGTTTCTCTGCCTTGAATTGAGCCATGTTGACATTCCAATATTTAAAGAATTGTAAGTATAACTTTCCCTGTTTTGTGACATCAATGCATATAGTTATTAAATTTGAGAGGAAAGAGCGGAATAGAATGGGCATACTATTGCATTTAAGAATGAAAATACAATAAATGATAAATTGGCCGATCATCCTCATGAATTTTTATAGATAACGTAATCTAAGTTTATGTTGATTTTCTCTTTACCTCCTTCTGCCCATGTGTTTAACTCAAACTGATCTAACTAATTTAATGTTTCACTTTTTATCTCTCAGGTATGACCTTTATTCTTTCTCAGTTATTCCTGCCATGGGAGAGTTGGTTGCTGGTGATCGAGAATCCTATCAGTACTTAGTTGAGAGTATTCGGCGATTCCCCCCACAGGTTTTTATCCTTCCATTTGTTGGTAGCTTTCGATGTCTTTAATTTTGGCTTGAAACGAAAGAATTGGCTGTTTATCAAAAATTGTTACTCTGGCCAAAGCAAAACCAAAATTTAGAAAAATAAAATAAAATAAGGTTAACTACTGGGAGCAGAACAGGATGATTTTGGGTGGGGTTGCATATGCTAGCCGGCGCACATGTAGGTGCTTCTCAATGCAGCTAGTCAGGCTAGATATAACTAATTACAAGTTAATCTGCCAATTAATTAATGGCAACCAATTCCAATGATTTTTTAATTGAAGCCTTGTATCAGCAACGAGGAAGCAAATAGTTGCTTTCTTGTGAATGTGTTGCTGATTGCGCTACAGCTGCAAGCAAATAGACCTGTCGTGAACTCCACCTCTTTTTCATAAACTAAAAGGAATGAGCTGCTAATTACTCTAGGTTTTGCCCTGACTGCTGCTTGATGGGCATGCATGAGATGTTTTGTCGGATGGACTAGAAATTAGACTGAAATACTACTGTAAGACTAATCTCTTTTACACCAGATCTCATCTAGTATTTTATTTTTATGTTGATCTTATTACTGTACTTATGATTACATCTGTTAGAAAGTAAATTCTTGCTCAAAAAGAGATGTGAAATCCATGACTTGATTGTTCCTGATTGCAACTGCATCTGTTGTCTTACATCCAACAGATCTTATTGATGTGAAATGAAATTTTCTCTTGCATTATTTCAGTTTTTAGGGAAAGATAATGGCCATGGTATTATTATTAATCAGCTACAACTGACCAAGGAAAATTATGTGATCATGATATATTTACTTCATATAGCTTGAAACCCCTTTATGCGGTCAATAGCAAAGCCACATAAAATTTTGAATATGCATTTTACAATTACAAAATAATTGGAAATTTTGGGGGTAGCCTTTTGATTTAAGTTTGCCTGTGCTGTGTATACACAAATTATGCAGAAGTTTTCTGGTGGAAGCGCAAATCTAAATGAAGGTTTCTGAATTCTCTACCTGGATGTGGCTAGGATCTCATTCTGTGTTGACTAATCTATATTGCAACTGATGTGCAGGATAAATTTGCTTCAATGATTGTCAATGCCGGATTCCAGAAAGTCGAATATGAGAATCTAGTTGGTGGAGTCGTTGCCATCCATTCGGGATTGAAAATCTGATGGGGCATGCACGTTTCTGAGATGCACAGCGTGTAGATCAAGTGTATGATCTTGCTGGCATTCTGAATGTTTTGAATTGATTAGAATGGATTTTGTAGTTCCTGCAGTTAGTGCTGCAAATGCAAATGTCTTTATTGTATTTGGCGGTTGCAATTCATTTGCAAGTACTCGAGTCTTGTATATGTATTATGGACGGCTCTAATAAGAATTTAAAAATGAAATTTGCTTTTGCACCAATCAATAAAATTATTTCAATTTTTATGCAGAAGTTGGTCTCTATCACTTCCATTCTGTAGTATGATTGTTTCTATCTCTCTTTTTCCCCACCATCAAAATGTGAAAAATGCTAGAGCTGTGTAAATGGATTTTCATCTTCTAATTTACTAGTTTTGATTATCCACTTTATGGTACTAAATCTCAAGATCTAAATGTGTGACTTTAATTTTTATCTGAAAATTTTAAAAATTAGAGGTTTCAAATTTTACAAATAACATGTATGTCTCCTTAGGATAGATATCAGATTAATGTTCATTCTTAGTGAACTTCAGTGCAAGATAAAGACGGACTTTATGTTTAAAATCCATTATGTTATGTGCCAATATTAATGAGGGAATAAATTTAAAATATAATTAACATTAATCGTGTATAAATAAAACAAAATGCAGATATGTTACAAGGATAATAGAATTTTTAATCTTTTAAGTTTGGCTTAATTATCAATTTGAACACTCGAGTTTAATTTTCATCGATTTAGTCCTTATTATTATTTTTAAATTATCATATTAGTCTTTTAAATTTTAAAACACAAATTGTCTTAAATTAACCTAAAGGATAATGAAACTTTTAATGCTTTAATTTTTTTTTTAAAGTATCAATTTGGTCTCTCAAGATTAGTTTTTATTAATTTAACCCTTTATATTTTTTTAAATTATTATGTAAGTTCTTTAAGTTTTAAAATACAAATTAACTCTTAAAATAATCTAATATGTAAAGTATATTAATGATTTAGCATGTATATGTAGTTAAATCTCAAATCAATTTACTTTTTATTAATATAATCCATTATAACGCTTTTTTCTCTTGTCTTTTAAAATTTTGATGTTTTATTTTTTAATTAAATAATTACACTTCTTTTTTTCAATTTATATGGCTATTATCAACATTCTATTATCCATGTCAATAAATTTTAACAGTGCTAGTTTCTTTTTAAATAATAAGAACCGAATCAAAAACCAAAATAAACTTAAAACGATTAAATCGATAAGAATTAAACTTAAAGAATCAAATTGATAATTGAGATAAGTTTGAGACAATAAAAGTTGCATTATCCCTTAATCTAATATGTAAAGTATATTAACAACTTGACATATATAAATATCTAAATGTGAACCAATTAGTCATGAGATAAGTTTAGTTTTTATTAATTTAGTTGTTGGCAAAAAACTATTAATCTAGTCCTTTACATTGTGTTTTGTTCTTCCATTTTTTAAGATTTTTTAATTTACTTCTTTCCTTTCAAAATAGTTACACTTTTCTTCATTAATCTACATATTTAGTTATCCATGTCAACAGATTTTAATAATATTATCTTCTCTTTAGACAATAAGAATCAAATAGATAATTAAGACAAATTTACAAGATTAAATTGATAATAATTAAACTTAAGGATCAAGTTGATAATTTGGCGCAAAATTAAGGGAAAAATCATAGTGAAAGACCTTTGGAGGATTTTATTTATTGACAAAAACCAAATAATTTTGAAATTATACTGCAAAACTAAGGGATCAAAATGTAATTAATTTTTAGTGTTAAAAGAAAAAACTACCTCTTATTTAAAAAAAATCTCCTCAATCACCGATTGCCAAAACTAAGGTGGCTGGACCACCTCGCTAGAGACAAGAGAGACAGATTAATTTTTTTTAAGGTGGCTAAGGCAGAGTTTGAACTCACATCCTCTTGGCCATCAAAAAAATAGTTAGCCATTAGACTAACAATTCATCTCAATTATTTAATGTAAATATATATAGATATATATATATATATATATATATATAAAACTTTGTTTTCACTTTCTATGTCAATTTTTACCAAGAGCTTAATAGATAGTTGTCATCTTATAAATGGCTATTTGTTAAACTACTAATAAGACTTGTTAAAAAGTTTAATATGCATTAGTTTTTATAAATGCTTACTTATTTTTATTATCAAAAATGACAAATTTTCATTAGCAATTTAATAAGTAACCATTTATAAAATGACAGGTCCCGTTACTAGCTTTAAAAATTTTTTTTGTTTGATAAGTAAATTTTAGTAAAATAATAAGTTCATATAAGCATTTGATGTATAAGTTTTTAGTAATAAAAATAAGTAAAAATTTAAAAAAAATCACTCTATATTATATTTCTTTAACAAGTCTTCATTGATAATTTAACAAATAACTATTTGTAAAATGACAAGTCCAGTTACTAACTTTGAAAATTTTTCTTGATAACTTGATAAGTAAATTTTAGCAAAATAATAAGTTCACATAAGTTTTTAACATGTAAAATTTTAGTAAGAAAAATAAGTAAACATTTATAAAAATTATTCCATATAAAATTTATTTAACAAGTCACCATTGATAATTTAACAAGAAACTCTTTGTAAAAGAACAAATCCTGTTACTAACTTTGAAAATTTCTTTTGATGACTTGATAAGTAAATTTTAGCAAAATAGCAAGTTCACATAAGCTTTTAACATATGAAATTCCAGTAATAAAAATAAGTAAACATTTATAAAAGTCACTCCATATAAAATTTCTTTAGCAAGTCACGATTGATAAATTAACAAGTAACCATTTGTACAATGATAAGTTCTGTTACTAACTTTGAAAATTTCTTTTGATAATTTGACAAGTAAATTTTAGCATAATAACATGCTCATAAGGTGATGGAGCATTTGGATTGTCTAGATTTATAGTTTTTATTTTATATTTATTAAAATAAAAATTATAAAATTTTAATAAATTTACCTTATGTAAGGTCTCCTTTACTTAACCACATTTAACTTCAAAGTATGGTACTCAAGGGATAAACCTTCAAAAGATTACCAATAATGTAAAGTTTATTAAAGAGAAAATTACTCAAATCATCTAGAATGGAATCCCAAATTCACATTTCAAATCTTACACAATAGTTATTAGGTCCAAATCAGAGTTTGAAAATAGTGTGGAAGCTTAGAAATCAATTAGCACTTAAAACAATGAATTTTAAAACCCAAAAATGACATGTGTGCTACAGCTTGTGACATGTGCACCATGACTCGTTTTCTCTGTGCCATACACTGCGGCATGAGAAGCCATGTACCGTGGTGCATTGTAAGAATTTGACAGCATCAATACTATCATTTGATAGCACAAGAAGCGAATTTCTGACACATTCCAAATCTCCGTTTGACGTTCAATTGAGGTGATTTCGATATCTACATGGAGCTTTCTCCTAACTTTAACTAATGGCATTGATTTCACACTCAAACTCTTTTTTAATAAAAAGTTGAATACCAAAACCCATTTTGACCACTTTTTCATAAAATTTCACAAATAAGGGGTCCTAACTTAACCACATTCATCAATAGCCTACACTAACCATTCGACCATACTCAATGAATTCTAACGGACTTGTGCAATGCACCCTACATAATCAAAAACACATTTATCATAAAATCACCACTCAACCCCAATTTTACAAAACACAAGGGGGAGGAAAACATTACACAAAATCATCATTTTTATTTCAAATCTTTCAAAATACACAATTATGCAAGTTGTACACAAAATAATGCAAATGGTGTAAAAATAATGTCAAATGATCCTAGTTGAAAAACACATTAACATATATACATGAAACAACAAAAAGGAGGCATATAGGGGATCAATCCACAATTCTAAGCCTCTGTGTGTTTTCGCCGACTCTAATTCGATGAGTTAGGCTCTGAAAATATTGAAAATTGAGGGATGAGTACAATCACTCAGTAATTAAGTTTCACCAAACCAATACAGTCACATATAAATTGTAAAATAGATGCAATTAAGTAAATATACAGATATCACATATAAACACTTGGGCCACGATTAACAAAACTAACAACCATGTAATCAAGCCCACAATACACGATATCATGTTATTTCATAAAGCATAACACAAGGTTGTAATAATAACAACCATGTGCCCTAACCCATGCCAGACCACAAAACTAACAATTATATAGTTGGACTTATATGCATGATCATATGCCAACCTTATACCTTTTATGTTACCTCCGACACGAAACTGATGGCTATCATGCGGCTACATCCTTTATGAACTAAACCAGCCTTCCAATTGTGAGAAGCTATCGAGTTAGGATGAACTCACTCACTTATATAATCTGGGTTCTCTCAATACTAACAACTATGAGATGTCGTATCCTTAATCCAGCCTCTTCATGAACCAGTGGAGACTAGTTAGGTTCGAGTCCCTCCTAAAATAAGTGGAACAGTCCCAAATAAAATATGGGACAAGAGCAACCTCTCAATTTCAACGGTTGATGCCAAGGCAAGTTTTCGATTTTAATGGTCATTGTCAGTACCACATGGATTTAAATCAATCTACTCCTCTCCCTAAGTGAACTCTTACCAATAATCATGCTATGTACATATTTTACGTACTCATAATCAATTACTACACATGCTCAACACATGTCACATCACAAATTCTCTACCCACAATAACAAATCAAAATCGAGTTCACAATCACAAAGGGTGGCAACATCAAGGTTTTTCTTTCCAAAACCATTTCACAAATCAAATATATTGCTAATATACATCATTAAATTTAAATCATAAATCACATTTCACAACATAATTAACATTAAATTATAAAGACTAGGTTTTCCTCGGTTACCTCAAACTTTTGACCAGTCAAAAGTTTATCGCTCACACAAAACACATTCAAAGCTTCTCCTAAGCTTGAATGGTACTAAATGAAACCACATTATAATCAAAATCAAGAATATCATCATAATCTCAATTTTGAAGATTTACTAATACCAACCTCCACATATCTATTCTACCAATCCATAAATCACTATCCATTCATACCTAATGGGTTTACTAGGTTTCATTAATATACATTATTGTTAATAACACTTCAAACCATCATTAATAGACATAAACCTCTTCCAACTACATCATTAATGTTGATTTTTGGATATTACCTCATTAATGTTGATTTTTGGATATTAAATGCTCTACCCAACAAACTCTTGATAAAACAAACAATGTAGGATTTATCTGTCCCAAACAACCCCCAATATACCTATTTTGATCAATGGAATTGGACCTATAATTCTATGAACTGAAAATGTATCTTTCAACTCAAACCCTATCATAAATCTCCATAAATAAGAGAGAGAAAGGAAGAAGAATATATAATAAACTTATCTTGGGTGTTTAGAAGCCTCAATCTATCCATAAATATCCAAATATGCGTGCCCTAGCAAAGCTTCAACGTCTTCTTCGTATTTCTCTTTTTCTCTTCTCTATTTTCTCACACAAAACGTGATTGATTTATCAAAAATATTGGCCGTGCGCATGGCACAGAAAGGCCCATTATGTTCAAATCTGCTTGTGCGTCGTGGCATTTGGCACAGAGAATAAATCTTTATTTTTTCTTCCTCTTCCTTGCCCGAATGGCTCGCCATCGATTTGGCCCTACTTCTAGGGCTAAAATCATATTGATTACACTAAGTTAAGCTACTCTAACCACACACCTCATTAACTCATTAATCTAAATCATTGAGTTAACTAACCACGATTAATTTTCCCGAATGTCACACCTTATCATTAATCTGAACAATGTAGATTCAATTTGAATAGTTTAATTTTATATTAATTATTTTTATAATTTTTAAAAATTGAATATCCATATATGCTTTAGACGGTCTAGATTTAATATTAAATTTCTTTTATAATTTTTATTTTAATAAATATAATATTAAAAAATAAAAATAAAAATAATCTCTAAGCACTTTAAATTTTAAGAAAAAGTCAGGAGTTAAAAATTTTAATTTTAGATTATTTAAAGTACATTTGTATAATTAATTTATAAAAATATAAAAAAATATTACATTAAATTATTTAAATTAAATCTGCATTACATAGAATGATGATAAGGTTGATTTATTAAAACAAAACTTATCAATCTGGACAAAACCCGAACCCATCCTTAACTTATGAATAGTGTAATTTTTAATAAATTTAATATAGTTGTCAATAACGATAATAAGTTATTGACTTTAGAGTATGATATTATATTAACACAAAAGGTACTTTTAGATATTAAGATGATAGTAATAATTATGAATGTTCGCCCCACGTCAAATCATAGAGTAATACTTAAAATGACACATGAGAACGTTTCCTTGATTTTATTAGCTATTAGCATGGGTTAAAGTAAGTTTTTAAAATTTATCTTATCTAAACTTACCCTTTTTACAAAAGGCACGCTTTTTTCAGAAAGATCAAATATAAATATTCACCTATACCAACAAATATACCTCTTTTTATAGAAAAAGGTCACCCTTTCTTCAAAGGAATCACAAATCATTGGAAGCACTGCTACAAGAAGGCTTAAAACAAAGCGAAAATGATTCTTCTTCTTCTTTATTTTATTTTTTTTGGGTCAGCAAAATGATTATTCAATATTTATTAAGCACGTTAGTGAATAGTGATGGTACTATTACATGTTATATCTGTCTATATACTATCATAAATTAAATATGTATTTATTAATAATAAAAAGTTGGCCAATCTCATGCAGGAATAGAGATGGGAGACTAGGAAAGGCCACAACCCTTCATAACTTTTTAATTTTTTTAATAAAATATAAAGATTATATATTTTTAACCCTTTAAATTAGCATATTATAGAAGTTTTAAAATATTAAATGTGATTCTCATTTTAATTCTATATATAATCTTCTACGTATGTATAGTGCAACTGTTATAATGGCTTGAAAATAGTTATCATATGATCTATTTATTTTTAACAAGATAATACTACATATAATCTTAAAAAAAATGATGTCATTTGATATTGCTTTCATTTTATATTTAATGAAAAAAATTATAAGAATCATTGCTAACAAAATTTGTCAAATATTATTCCACCCACCATCAATTAACAACTTTACTTAAATTAAAAAAATGGGTTAAAGGATAAAAAATATTCATAATTTTTTTCTAAGAGCACCCAGTATTCTTAAATGAAAGATAGTGCAAGAGTACTCATGATATTAATGAAGTGAGTGCAAAAGTGTTAAACTGTTAAATTTAACTAACGTTTGTTAATATTGACCTATTAAAAAAAAGATAGGAAATATAAAGTGTAAAAATAGCCATAAACTTTTTTATTTAGAAACTATTGATATCCTTAAGTCAGTAATGGTGTATGGATAACTATTAATTTTATAAAAAGGTTGTATAGCCAAGCTCGATACTAACAAATTAGGTTTCCAGGCTTATTTGAACTTGCTTGAATATTCAAATGCTAAAATATTATTTTATTTCTTTTTTAGTCAATTCCATTTTTTATATTAAAAAATGAAAATTTTTTAAATTTTATTTGAATTTATTTTATTTGTAATAAAAATGATTCAAGTGTTTGAATTAAGCTCATTCGAGTTTAACCTTGACCCAAATTTGTTCATACTTATTTTGGTGGCCTGAATAAGCTCAAATTAAATAAAAAACTCTAAACTCCCAAGCCTGATATTAATATTTTTTGAGTTTATTCAAGCAAATACATCTGACTTGACCTAAATTATTAAATCTAACTGTCTATTAAAATAATTTGATATTGACCGTGAAGTTTTAATAATAGAACTTGATGGATTGAAAAAGATTGAATCATTTTATAAAATTAATAGGTACCTATACATCATTGTTAATGTTAGGATACCATAAATTCCAAGAAAAAAAGTTTATGGTTATTTTTGTATCTTATATTTACTTCCATTTTTTAACAATTAATGTTAACGAATGTTAGTCAAATTTAATAATTTTGGATATTTTTGCATCCATTTTATTAACATTATAGACACCCTTACATCGTCTTTCACTTAAAAATATTGAGTGCTCCTAAAAAAAAATTCATGGATATTTTTACCTTTTAATCCTTAAAAAATCAGTTAAATTTAGTTACTATATTTAAAATTTTAAAATTATCCTTGAAAAAATTGTTTAGTTAGTGAGAAGATTATTTAATTAGTTAAAAATATAAGAAAAGAACATTTTAAAAATTAATACCTTAAACAGGAAAAAATTCCTTATGCAGATGAAATGTGTGTGTGTGCACTGTAACTTTACCTATGCTGAATCAGCGGGGCGTTACATTGATCGACATTGAATGTAATCATTCATTGATTACCGCATAGATGATTTTATTTATTTTTTCTCGTTGATCCTATCCAACAATTGAGTCAACTATCAGTTACAGGATAGTTGAGCAAGGAGTATTTTTTTTTTTTAATGGTGCCCTCCTATGAAAAATAATCCTATCTAAACTACTGTTGAATATTAAATATATACAACCAGTGAGAATTCAAAACCTGATTAACAAAATTGAAACTGACTAGCTTATTTTATTAAATTCAATCTCATTAATAAGGAGATTTTAATAGGTTCCTCTCTCCTAATATGAGTTAAGTCTAATAAAAGAAATTAGTTATTCACAACATGAGAGATATGTTTACATTCAATGTTTGAGCGCACAATTCTTTTTGATGAAAGGATAGATGTAAGTAATAAAAGAAATAAGTTGCTCAGCTAAGATGAATGTGCATGTTAAAATCTGAATTTTATTTTACCAACAAAATCTAGATTAATATCTAATGCAATATTCTCTCCATTCTTATTTATAAAACACGTTTTAAAAAATTTATTTAGTTTCATTTATAAGTTATTGTGTAGCTTTTTAAGTAATATTTAAAAAATATTTTTAAAATTATCCTTCATAATAAAAAAAATATAACATCATTTTTTAGATTTGTTATATATGGATATATTTAAAATTTTACATACTTTTATTTCTTTTACTCTTTTTATATTGATATAGATAAAATTTATAAAAATAATTTATAAAAAGACAGAAATAATTCTACACAGTAGATATAGTGATAGTAGAACATTATAAATTATAAAAATATACTCCCTCTTAATTATGACATAAGGTATCTTTTAAGAATTTTATTTGATCCAAAAATAAGTCATCGGATAATTTTTATTTTAATTATACCCTTACTTCATTTATTACTTTTTTTTAAAAATAATATATTAAATTTTAATTATTATTATTATTATTAAAAATATGATATTTAATGAGAATATAATTGAAAAGATATAAAAATTTTAAAAAAATTAAGATTTTAATTAATACTCCCTCCATCTTAAATTATAGACATTTTTAAAAAAAATTTTCCATCCTAAAATATAAAACACTTTAAATAAATTAAGATTTTATTAAATATAATAATTTTAATATTATTCTTTAACTTTTTGTAATTAATTTTTATTTATTATATTTTTAATATATTAAATAATAATTATTTTTAAAAATTTATATTTTTATTTTAAAAAGATAAAATTATTAAATGTATTTAATAAATTTTGTTGATATGTAAAATTTTATTTAAAAATATTTTTTTTAAAAAAAAAAATCTTCAATTAGCGTGCCGGCTGGAAGGAAGCGTATCCGTACTGGGTGAAGTCACCAGGCGGCCAGCGGGTCCCACCTGGTCACCTCTCACCAAACGGATAAAGTTGGGTTGAGACTTGAGAGCCAACTGTGGAAACTTGTGAGCCCACCTTTTCATTCGCCCCTCCCACCGATTTTTTTCCTTCTCTCTCCTTGAATCTAACTGCTCGAACTAAATGAGAGCCGTCCGCAGCTGACGAAACCCGACACGTGTCGACCATCAGTATGTTCGGATGCCCCGGTCACGTAAACGTCGCACTTTTCTCTCCTTCCCACCATCCCGCTTTCAGTCTTGCGCTCCTCTCCCTCAGCTTTTGGTTCATTTCTGTTGGCGTCACTGAACCTGAAGCGAGAAGTAATATGATCGATATAGTTACTTTTCTCTGATTTCTCTTCTTGAATTTCGTCCTGTTTTTTTGGGTATAAAACTTCCTTCTTCTCGTAAGTGGACAAATGCTGATTGCTCTGTTTCTTATATTATTTGTCCTGATATGTGAAGCTTGTCCTGATATGTGAAGCTTGTTTCCTCACTTGGTCTTTTCTGAGATTTGAGTCGAATATGCCATATCTAAGTTTATTTGCGTTTTCTTGTATGTAATTAAATTTTCTGTACTTTCTCGTACTCCTACTGGTATCTATTTCTGAAGATATTTTAGTGTTCGAGGTGGATCAATTATTCGATGTTCCTTTTGATTAAGGAGATGGCGTAGAGTTGTTATTATTATTATTTTAATGTTTTTTGTCTTTGCTATTTAACTGCAATTTTCAGTGAGATATTTTGTATAGCTCCGTCGCTCCTGCCATATACAGGGGCATGAAAATCGCCTGCGCGCGCGCGTATTTGCCAGTTATGCCGATTAATATAAAAATCTTGTAGTAAAATACTTGTTAAGTATCAAGTTTTACTTCTGGGACTTCCTTGAAATGTGTTGATAGCAAATGGTGCTTAATTATGTGGTGGTGGAAGACTGAAGCGAACAGAATGTTAGAATTAGATATAAATATTGGCTTAGCAAAGTCAGAGGTTTGCTTGGATTGATCTGACCCGCACTGATTAGTTTACACGGTTGATAATGATATCTCATTCTCTACTCGATTGCTTGTTTCTCTCTTTTAACTGCCATGCTTAGTACACCCTTGTATCTTTAAAAAAAATAAAAAGCGAAACATATGCTAGCATGCCTAACACAGTTATCATAAAAAGATAAAATCAAACTGATTGAGTCATTTTCATCGTCGGGCTTTAGTGATTTGAGTTGGTGTGGGCTAATTAACACTTGGCTACTTCGTAACTCCTAATAGTTTTTGAGAATCTTTTCAATTGAAGTCAATCTCTGAATGATCAAGTCTGCTAAGAACTTTTTCAGCTTTGCTGTTCTCTTTTATTTTTGCAGGCTGAAATAGAGTGCATATATTCATATTTGGGTTATTGAATGGATTGCTGAAGTGTCCTGCTGCGCATATTTTTAACTGGTGATTACAAATTACAGTATATTTTCTCAATGGGAGGAGTTTGTTCTAGGAAGCAAGAGCAAGACATTGAAGATAGTTCTCCAGGAGAATATTGCAAAAGTGGGAGTTTGAAAAGGCTCACACCATCATTCTCTTATCCTATGATGAGTTTCCATTTACAAAATGGAGAATGTCCATCACTGTTGGACTTGTGCATCCAAAGAATAAGTCAGGTGCTTCCAAGACTCATATGATTGGTCTTGACGTTTCACTTTTCCTTCAGGGATAACCACTGCAATCTGCAATTTTTCTTCTACAGGATATTGATAGATATAGCTCAATGTCTATACTCCCACGGGATATAAGTCAGCAAGTTTTTAATGAATTGGTGCGCTCCCATCGTCTAACTGCTGCTTTTCTTGAAGCTTTTCGAGATTGTGCTCTCCAGGTAGGTCATTTTAAATTATATGTCGTGTTTGTATTTTATATGATGTTGTTGTGAATATAGTCAGTTGTATTCTTGATCTAAATTATCCAAGCTCATCTTATTTTACATTTGACAGGATCTTTACTTGGGAGAATATGCTGGGGTGAATGATAGTTGGATGGATGTCATTTCATCACAAGGATCATCTCTACTTTCTGTGGATCTTTCTGGTTCTGACGTCACTGATTTTGGGCTGACTTATCTTAAAGCTTGCGAAAATCTCCTAGCCTTAAATCTTAATCATTGTGACCACATTTCAGACTATGGTCTTAAATACATTAGTGGTAATCTTTTTCTTCTTCTGGGTTTCTTTTAGTCTTTCATATTGGTACATGGTCTTGTGCATCCGCAGTTATTTATATTTGGTCCCTTGCCTTCTGTATATGGACTTTGTTCATTAAAAGAAAAGGAGAAAAAGATAGAAAATCTGATACTATAGATGAGAAACCAGTTTTTGTAAATTTTAAATGTGCATTAATTTGATTAGCTATTTGTTATCGTCCAGAAAAATGCGCTTATCCTTATGTATGCATCTCCCTCATTCTTTTTGAATTTTCTTTTTCACGGGAGCAGTAGTTGATAGGTACACTTCACCTTTTCCTTTTGTGTTATTGAAAAATTTAAATATAAAATATTAAGCAGATACTCTGCTTGAATTTTGGCATTTCAGTTCACCCTATATTTCCTTTTTTTTTTTCAGCTTATTAAAATATGAGGTAATGTAACTTTGAGCAGCACCCATCATCATATAATCAAATTTTTTTTTTCCTGCTATCTTGAATGTGTGATTTATTATTGCACTTGAGATGATAAATGCATACCATGTATGGTTATTTCTTTGTTGTTGTTGTTTGTCTGAAGCATTCTTTGGCAGCGTTTTCTGAATTTTGATAATTTTTCTGTCTTTCCATGTTATGTTGGTTTATTGATATTCATATGAAGATATTTCTGGCTCAACCTTGTGAATGTCTTGCTTTTTCCTATTAGCTTAAGACAATTTTTTTTTTTTTTTTTTGAATGTCCCAGGTCTGACGAATTTAACTAGTCTGAGTTTTAGAAGAAACAATGCGATCTCTGCTCAAGGAATGAGTAGCTTTTCTGGTCTAGTTAGTTTGGTCAAGTTGGATTTGGAGAGATGCCCTGGGGTTCATGGAGGCCTTGTTCATCTTCAAGGTTGGTTTTTAAATGTATTGCTGATAACTTCCTGCCATTTTTTCTGCATCTTATAGGCATTCAGACGATGTGTGCATTTTCATCTTTCTTTGCATATTAGGTTCTTTAAGGGAATTGATGCATGCCACACTGTTGTATTTTTGAACTGCACTTTGTTTGATACAGTTTTGATTTGTTACCATGCATATATTTACTTGTCATTAATGTTTCATCTATCCTGATTTTCACATATGTGTAGTGTGTCTGAATTCAGAAGGGGGTCAGTTTCACAAGGCCCCTTTACATTACATTTAATTTTGTGAATAGTTCATCCTCCAGTCTCTCTCTCTCTCCCCTGTCTGTGAAGAAGTGTTGATCTAGTTAAAGCTACAGAATAAGGGATTGTTAGAAATGGAAGATAATTAAGAATTAATTAATGCTATAGGGCAACATAGTTGAGAAAATTGAAAGAGATGACTTGTAATTGAAAAAGCGACTTTGGCATGTTGATCTTCACCTTGGTAAAGTTGCGTGATGTTTGCATGCTCTTCCATGGTAGGTGTATACCTGAAATGCTTACCAATTTCAATTTAATTTAACTCATATTTCTCAGGCTTAACCAAGTTGGAATCTCTTAATTTGAAGTGGTGTAATTGCATAACAGATGCTGACATGAAGCCTCTCTCAGGTTAGTTGTGTCTTGCCTCTCTTTCATGACAATACCTGGAAGTTTTAACGGTTGAAAAAGTGAACTACCACATAGATTAATTGTGTGTGTTTTCTTTTATGCACTTCGCATTTTTCACTGTAATAGGTCTTGTTCAGGTTGCCATTGTGTGCTTGCAGGAGCCAAGGATAACTTACTACTGGACTTCGCTTAATTAATGAGATGTACTATAAATGTGGATGTAGTTTTGGTTGGACGACAGACATGCTAACTCCTAGTGGAGAAATTATCCACCCAAATTTCAATTTCAAATTTTCATATTCTCAGTCATGCATTCCTCCTTGGTATTTTCTTTCTATTTTTGAGCAAGCAAAAAGCAGGATGAATGTCATGAAACATCTATCAAACAGACAGTCTGTCTTGTTGGAGTTCAATGACTTTTTCTTAATTTTGCCTTTTGCTTTCTTCAATATGTATATATAGTATACAAGGTTTGAAATCTAAACTGTCTCCTCTTACAGTAACACAGTAGACAATCCATACAGGATAATGTCATTGGCTCATTGCATTATTACAAATGTTGGTTTTATGATAAATGGCCATATTGTGTTAAATGTAGTCTCATTAGTCACCTTTCTATCTCAAGGATATCTTCTTAACTGGGATGTATTTCAACGGATAGGCAATGAATGCAATTATCTATGTATAAGAACCATATAATTATCAGCACAGGGATGTGTATATAAAAGTTTAATCATCAGTCATCTTTTTTTTTTTTTAATAACCAGTGAAATGTGAGACATGGTTTGGTAACTAACAATGCAATTTTTTTAATTCAATATGCTTCCAGAGCTTACAAATTTGACAAGTCTAGAGATTTCACGCAGTAAAGTCACAGATTTTGGCGTCACTTTTCTCGGAGGTATTGTGTCTTTCCTTTCCTATGTACAACTACAAGCCTTATCTCACTAGATGGAATTGGCTGGATGAATCGGATGATGTTTTTCCTTTCCTATATACAAGGGCATATTTCAGAACGCAAAAGGATTAACCTGAATTTCATGGAGCCATATTTACTTGAACTAAATTGTTGATAGAGCTTTGATAGAGATATATAAAAAAATTTTAACTAACCAATTTTAGGATTTGATGTTCAATGTCAGACTACTTTCACTGTTAGCATTTCATTCATATGAGTATGCAGTATCTCTTCTATATTAGCACTTTTCTTACTGCTTTTCTTTTCATTCATATTTTAATCTGCATCAGATAATGAGCAACAATGGAGAATAGGCAATAATATTTCTGTGTTTCATTGATTACAAACAGGGGATATGTATATAGAGCTCCTTGACTCTCTGGCTAACACTCTAATAAAATGATACAAGTCTTGGCTGCCTAACAGCATGACTGACTCTAATAATCAGCTTGAAGGAAAAAATGTATTTTATTTTTTCATATTCGTCTCCTTTTCTTCCGTTTTAATAATGCCTTGATTTATTTCAGGATTACAGAAGCTTTCTATGTTAAATTTGGAAGGATGCCTTGTAACATCTGCTTGTTTGGGCTCTCTTGCAGGTTGCTTTACTTTCTTGGCATTTAAGCTTATTCTGTTAATATTCTTACCTAGAATATTTAGGCTGAATGGAATTAACTTGTTTTTATGTTTAAAATCTTGGGTATTCATCTTAAGTGGGTTATGACTTGAGTATGATTTCAAATTTACTTCAATGATAGCATAAAATCCTCCTTTTTGCTCTGTTCAGTTGCTGAGTTTCTTTTGATGTCTCTGCTTGATCGTTTAAAAAAGAGGCACCGATCTTAAATTTTAATGCATAAAAGCCAATAACATAATGACTATATGCTTTGCCGGTCAAATGTTTTTGTCAGGCATTAGAAGCTTTAGTTTATTTTCTCATTTAAAGGGAATGAAACTGAGATGCCCATTTTCAGTTTTAGTTTGACATTGGTGCATATTTTTGCCAGAGCTTCCTGCATTGTCAACCTTGAATCTTAATAGCTGCAAACTTTCAAGCAATGGATGTGAAAAGCTTTCACGTAAGTAGTTAAGACGTTATAATTGATTCTGTAAGGCTGCAATTGTGTAATTTATAATTTGATCATTAATCACATATATGTGCCGCAACTATTCTAGGGGGTGTGGTGTTAAATCTTTGGCATTGCCGTTTCTGTTTTGTAGAACTGGGCAATTTGAAGACATTAAACTTGGGATCCACTGACATTACAGATGCTTGTTTAGCTCACGTGAAAGGTGATTAAAAATACTCACCTTATGCTCTCCTCTTTTTCTCTTTCCCCTGAATAGACCAGAGGAACAACTTGGTTCACTCAAGAATAAAATGAAGAAGCAAACTTTCTACAAAGTACAAACTGCAGTAGATAGATACATGGGGTTATTTTCTTTTCCTTCAAAGCAGCTGGGGATCAAGATCGTATCTTTACAAGAATGTAAAAAATCATCATATCATCTAACAGCTTTTCTACCATTTTGTTTACAAATTTATCTTCAACTCGAGTGTTCTTATTACATGGTTTATAGCCATAGCCATGACTTATCTAACTCACTCCTTTAAACTTTTGTGCATAATTTTGCCATCGAGTGAATGGATTTAACAGAAAAAAGTTAAGCTGCTTTGCTGGTGGAGCCGAAAGACAAAGAATACTTGGAAGATATAACTTATATTTGAAATTCTGGTCTGTGTTTTCATCCAGGATTGACAAAGTTGGAGAGCTTGATCCTAGATGCATGTAAAGTTGGTGACCGTGGATTGGCCAACTTGGCAGGTAGATATATGAATCTTTTCTCTCATTTTTTGGGGGGGTCTACTTGTGATGGGTAATAATTTCCTGGATGAAAAATTTGTCCGCATGTTTTGGAAAATGGAAATTTTTGTAGTTATTTATAGTATTCTATTATATTGGTTGCAAATGATTCGATTATTGATTTTGCTTCACATGATTCATCATGGAAAATGTGCATTTGCTTGTTCATGTCTTTAGGCCTTCGGCAATTGAAATGTTTGGAATTGTCTGAGACAGAAGTTGGAAGCAATGGGTTACGCCATTTATCAGGTTAAAAACTTATATTTTTTCTATGGATTTGTTAAATATTGATTGAGAATTGAATGCTAATGAACTGTTAGGGTCTTTCTGGAATCTTATTTTTTATACTTAGTAAGAACTTCTAAAATGTACATGTTTACATGTTTGCTAAGTCTTTCAAGAATCTGACCAATGACGAATACAGTGAACTGGATAAATATGCGTGCTTTGAGAGTTTATTGCTTATATAATTATTCTTCACCATTATTCTTAAAACACTGGTTTGTAGCTCCTTATATCAAGTTCTTCATTACTTTATTTCTGCTTCAATTTATCATTGTGAACTGAATTTATTTTTTGTGGTAAATACCTTCGTAGATTGTCTTTGCTATATTCTAGTATTATATGCATGATAAAAAGTGATCATCCTCACCATGGAGTAGCATTTTCCTATATTGACTACATTGTGATTTGATTTTTCATAGGATTGTCTAGCCTGGAGAAAATAAATCTGTCATTCACTGAGGTTGGTGATAATGGTTTAAGGAAATTGCGTGGGCTTTCATCTCTGAAGTCTCTTAATTTGGATGCTCGCCATATTACTGATGCCGGATTGGCAGCTCTTACAAGTACGTGTTCTCATGCAAAAGTTGCAATTTTCTGTAGTTTACGTTGGCTCTAAATCCTGTAATCTGACAGACTTCCTGCAAAATGTAATTTCAAATGTTTGAGTATCCAGGCTCCATAGTCTTTTAACATAAACCTTAATTCGGCAGAATGCCTCATTCTGAGTTTGTTGATGCAGGTTTGACTACGCTTACTGATCTGGATTTGTTTGGAGCAAAAATAACAGATTCTGGAACTAACTATTTGAAAAGTATGTAATATTGCTGTAATATTCCCTTTGTGGGTCAGCTGTGCTTTGTAGAATTAGGCACAAGTTAGCTTTAGTTCCTTGACTGAATTGATGTTAATTCTAATTTTGTACTGTTTTGCCAACTTTTTTTTACGATGAAACAGGCTTAAAGAACCTAAGGTCCCTGGAAATATGCAGTGGAGGCTTGACTGATGCTGGTGTGAAGAACATCAAAGAACTTTCATCTCTGATGTTCTTAAATTTATCACAAAACGGCAACCTTACAAACAAAAGCCTGGAGTTCATTTCTGGTATCTTCCCAGACCTCTGTTTTACTTGATGGAAAAGAAACTCTTTTTTAAGCAATCACTTGTGAAAACTCTAAATCAGTTTGCCTAATGAAGGGCTTCTGGTGTGTTGTTTATTAAGTTTTGTGGTTGGATTTTAAGCTTTTCTGCTGAAAAGAGGAAGCAATCCAGGTGATCAATTTCAGACCAAAGAAGAAAATCTTAGGATATCAATTAGAAATTTCATGTCATAAAACTAGAAACGGCTCATTAATTTCCACCTTTTGACTGATTTGGTCCATGATGGTACTGGTTTCTTTCCTACAAGTCATTATTCAAGAATTACTAAGACAATGTTCGCAAGAAACAAAGTTGATTTGTCCTTAAGATAACGCTGGTCTGTCTCTATTCCTAGTCAAGCATTGACAAGCATTGACATGACCATTTGGAAGTTGACTGTCTATGAGTCATCACCATAAAATGATTGGAGTTTTCTAAATCGAAAGGACATGGTTTGCATTTATTGTGTCAGACTTGGTAGCTATTTGTAATTATCTCTTTCCGCAAACATGAATTTGAATGCAATTTTCAGGTCTGACGGGGTTGATATCTTTGAACGTTTCAAATTCTCGCATCACCAGTGCTGGTTTGCGGCATTTGAAACCGCTCAAGAACTTGAGATCGCTGACCTTGGAATCATGTAAAGTGACAGCAATTGACATCAAGAAACTTCAATCGACAGATCTCCCAAATCTGGTCAGCTTTCGGCCTGAGTAAGCGGAGAGGTGTATTCTAATATATCCTCTCCCTCCCTCCCTCCCTGTGATATATGTATATACCGTCATGTCTGAACGATACTGAAAGACAGCCTTAAATTGTACATAGATTAATGGATGGCCTGAAGCTTAACTCGTGGCAAGATTTGGCCATAATCTCTCTAATAAGATGATGGGCGGTGTCTGGCATCGTCCTGTCTACTACGCAGACAGCAATAAAGAGGCATATTTTTTCATTAGAACTATGAAAAGGTTGATTCTAGCAACCAAGGTTTGATATTTCGGATGTTTTAAAATTTGCGTTTTACTTTTTTTTTTATTTATTTTGCTCCAGTATTTTAGTTGTTCGATCCAAATTAATCCGGTCACGGGTCATTAGCTTGTGGATACCTCACTAAAAATTTAATCGTTGATGCATGCTCGAAGCTTGAACGTTGGATCAACCTTTTAATTTGCATGTTCTTGGTCTTGTCGGATTGTCAGCTATGCAACTGTAGAATTAAACAAGTGCTTTGACTCTGTTCCCTCTTTTTAGAAAGACTTATGTCACGGCCTTGGACACACTTAGCTTCGAAAGAGAGTGTGGGAATTCTTGTTCCTGTTCATCTTTAATTGTATTACTTTCTGGGCTTAGCCCTCGTCAATATTAAAAAAAAAAAAAAAAAGCTACCACTTGCTGCTTACAAGTTTGGTAATCTTGACATTCTCACCTGGGAACATTTTCTATCGCCATGAATAGTAAGAATCAATGTATGGAGATGGGAGACGTCAGCACAAAGTGGAGGTTGAAAGATAATGTGCTATGAAGCAGAAGAGAGGGAGGAACAAAGATAGAACGGAGATTTAGACCAAGAATACATGAGTAGCTTTGTACATAAGTAATTTGAGAGAGAACTAATTCATAGTACGTGTTTAAAAATCAAAATTAGTTCTTTGTAGAGAAAAATGTGTTGATTTTCCTGAAATGTCTTTTCCTTTAATTATTTATAGATGAAATTACCTTTATTAATTGCATGTATTAATCTATATAATCAACAGAGATAGTTTGAAAGATAAAAGAAATTGAGATCTTATATTTAGGAGCAAAATCTCGTTTTGGCTAAAAAAATCATCTCTTAAATATTGAAAGGAATATATATAAAAAGTTTCCTAACTAATTCCTGGATTACTTGATAACCTATTGTTCATATTGTAGTAACTTGAGAATCTTGATCAATGTAAATTGTAATCCAGTTCATAATTTAAAATGGCCCTATTATACATATCTTTTTAAGTGTATTCTTTAAGTTTGGGGTTATGTCTTAATCCTTTTTTATATTAAAAAAATGGCCTTATTATATTAGGGTGATTGCATAGTAACATCCATCTAATGAAAGTCTCAATAGCTCTAAAATTCAATTTGTTACCATCCCTCCCGTGAAAAGTAGTTTAACTTCTTGAATTTGTTTAAGTTATCATTATCTTTTAGCCTAATAAATTATTTACCTTATATATCTAATTATTCTTAATCTCCCTCATTGACTAGTCAAAGATATTTACAAAAAAAATCACTAGACTTAGATAGTTTAAAATATAACTTCTATTAAACCCATTTGAATATTGTTTTTCAATATTATAAATATATACCATACATCATCAAATACAATAGGGAGTTGAAAGAAAAATAAACTTAGAGACAATGGAATAGCTATAATATCAAATTAATGTTGAGATGACCTTTCAGGAGGACTAAAATTGAATTCCACCTTGGCTTATTTGATAAATCATATAAAATCTGAGCTATTCCTCCACTATTTTATTTTGCGCGTCCTTTTGCATGCTTTTGAAGAGAGCTGTGGGTGAAGTTCGTTCTAAAATTTTTGAAGAATTTTATAAGAGCCTTGAGACGAAAAAAGGAGAGCGAAATATTTATAAGATTGTCAAGAGTAGGGAAAGAAAATTAAGAGATCTAGAACAGGTAAGGTGTATTAAGGATGAAGAGGGAAGAACTTTAGTTACAGATGATGAAATTAAAAATAGATGGGAGACTTACTTTTCTAAACTTTTCAATGATGGAGAGGGTTCATCTAGTAGCTTGGAGGATTTAGTAACTGGTGACGGAGAACAAAATTTGTCATTTTATCGAATAATACATGATAAGGAGGTAAAGGAAGCTCTTAAGAAAATGACAAATGGTAGAGCCAACGGACCTGATTGTATATCTATCGAAGCGTGGAAATGTTTCGGTGAAGAAGGGGTGAGATGGTTAATTAAGTTATTTAATGTGATTTTACGGTCCAAGAAAATGCCTGATGAGTGGAGGAAAAGTACTTTAATTTTTATTTATAAAAATAAAGGAGATATTCAGAATTGTACTAACTATAGAGGGATTAAACTCATGAGCCACACAATGAAATTGTGGGAGAAAGTAATTGAGCACAGGTTGAGATTGGAGACAAGTATTTTTGAAAATTAGTTTGGTTTTATGCCAGGTAAATCAACTATAGAGGCGATTTATTTACTAAGGGGATTAATGGAAAAGTATCGTTGTAAAGATAAAGATCTACATATGGTTTTTATTGATTTAGAAAAAGCTTATGACCGTATACCAAGAGAAGTGCTTTGGAAAGCGTTAGAAAAAAAGGGAGTACGGATTGCTTATATTAAAGCCATACAAGATATGTATGAGGGGGTAAAAACTAGTATAAGAACGCCTAGTGGTCAAACAAAGGATTTTCCTATAAAAATTAGACTACATCAGGGATCATCTCTGAGTCCTTATTTGTTCAACTTGATCTTAAATGTTTTGACGGAACATATTCAAGGGGAAATTCCAAAATGTATGCTCTTCGCGGATGATATAGTTCTTATAGCAGAGACAAGAGAAGAGGTTAATTACAAACTTGAGTTATGGAGGAGGACATTGGAGTTGAAAGATTTTCGTCTGAGTAGAAGTAAGACGGAATATTTATATTATAAATTTGGTAAAGGACTATTTGACAATAATTTAGAAGTGAAATTGGGTGATCAAATTATACCTCAAGTGAAAAAGTTTAGATATTTGGGAGCCATTATTCAAAATGATGACGAAATCAGTGGAGATATTTCACATAGAATTCAAGCTGGATGGTTTAATTGGAGAAAAGCTAAAGGAGTTATTTGCGACCGTAACGTGCCTAATAAACTTAAAAGAAAGTTTTATCGCACTGCTATCAGACCAGCAATGTTATATGGTAGTGAATGCTGGGCTCTAACAGGACAGCAAGAGCATAAAATTGGAGTAACAGAGATGAGAATGTTATGATGGATGTGCGGACATACACGTAAAGATAAAATTCAAAATGAGCACGTACGCGAAAAAGTGAGGGTGGCACCTATTGAGGAAAAAATGGTAAAAAATCGGTTGAGATGGTTTGGGCATGTACAAAGAAGACCAAGGGAGGCACCAGTGAGAAGAGTGGAACATATAACTTTGAGTCCGATTAAGAGAGGTAGATGAAAGCCTAAGAGAACACTCTTGAAAGTTATTGAACGTGATCTCTTAATTAATAATATTCCTAAAAGCTTGATAAATGATAGAGCATAATGGCGTCTTGCAATCTATATAGCCGACCCCACCTAGTGGGATAAAGGCTTGTTGTTGTTGTTGTTGTCCTTTTGCATGGTTATAGATAGTTATGAGAAACTAGATTGTAACTTTCAATTATATTTTTAGATAAACAAAGAAATGTGTGAATTGACTTGCTCACTTGATTCTCATGCATCAAACGACAATTCAGATATGATTATTTTTGTAGAACCACCCTTGAAATGCAAAAAGTTTTATATGCTCTAACATGTGCTGATCGTTACCCCTACCCAAAAAATAAAAAAATAAAAGCTTCACAATGCTATCTCAGGCGGAGTACTGACTATAAATTGATTCCTTAAAAATCTCAATCACTTCAGATTAAGCAAGCAAGGTTACTCACTTCTTGAACACAATTAATTTCTCATGAAGCATTTATTTGAGAGTAGGATCATATGTAAGAGTGAAAATAGGATAAGAAGCTTTGCCAACGGTCTATCACTAGCTCTAGTTTTGTCCTAATCAAGCATGTTTAAACAAAAAGGACAATATGAAGCTTATGACTAAGCCTATTAAAATAAATAAACTATGCCTATTGACCTTTAGTATATGACATGTTTCTATTTTTAGTTTTTTTTTTCACTCCTTTAGGTTGTGAATATAAAACTTAGTTAAAAAGTTCGTTTTGATCTTAAACATAAAACCTCGAACTTCTTTATATTATATCCTTCATTTAATTCCCCACCCCCCTTTCAAACTATCCTTATTAAATCATATTTTTTTAAAAAAAAGTGATGCACATTTTTTACACAATAACAAATAATTCACTTATTTTCTGTAATTAAGTTAACTGAGTATGATGTTTAGGACTAGAAAAAGTATTGTATTTATATACATAATAAAAACATAATTATATAAATATATATTGAGTAATGTATACATATATAAATAAAAAATATAATTTAAATTAATTTTATTCATAATTAATCAAAGTTTTAAAACACAAGATCTCATCAAACCGATCGAGATAACGGTTTAATCGGAATCAAACTGTTGTCAAATTGGTCAACAATAAATTAATATATTTTAAATAATATACATTTAAAAACTGATTTTCCAACTAAATTAATAAAATGTTGAAAATTTAATTTTAAATTTGTTTGGAGAAATAATATTTTGTAGATTTCATTCCACCCATTTTTATAGACATAAATAAAATAGAAATTATTATAAGTATTGAAGAGCATTTAGTAATATCAATATCCCAACTTTTCGCCTCTCCTCTTGTCCCGGCTTCCCGCTTCCTCCTCTTGTTTAATGGAATATTAATAATATTAAAATGCATATGGCACGTGGGGGGAGAGAGAGAGAGAGAGAGAGAATATCACTGCCCAAGTGCGAAACCCTAGCCGCACCCCATTCCTCTTTCTGCTCCCTAGGCTCCAGCGATGATTCTTCTTTGTGATTGCCGCCATTGATGAAATTTGTAAGATATACCAGTTCGTTTGTTCGTTTTTCTTTCATAACTCGAAAAGCAAGCCTAAGGTGATGATTTGTTGTTATTTAGTCTCTTTTATCCTCCCTTTTTCATCTTTTCTCCCGTCAGGTCTCTCTATTTAATCTAAATCTTAAACCATTTAACCGTTCAATTTTTCCGGTTTACTGGTTTTTGACCGGTCCAATTGCTTCACGGTTTCGTAGTATCAACTGGACTGGTTTCAAGATTTTAAAACCTTGATTATTATCACCCCATCCTTTAAGATAAATATAAATAAATATATATGAAGTTAAATATATAATATTCATACATATGATCTATATAAATTTTTTAAAATGATGAAAATAGACGTAGCCTCTCAATTAAAAGTAAGCCTACTTAACCGCAGAAAAGTTGCTTGAAGTATGCTCCATTTGATACGTTGACAATAATTTTAATAAGAATAAAAATTTAAAATACATTTGGTGTGGCATGTATAAAATTGAGAAATTATTAATTAATATTTAAAATATAAAAAAAAAGATAAACATAACTTTTAATATCTATATTTTATTTATATTTTATTTTTAATTTTTAATTTTTTTAATATTTTAGATTTTTATACTTTTATTTTATATTATTTTATAAAAATTTAAAATATAAAAAATTAAAAATTAAAAATAAAATACAAATAAAGTATAAAAATTAAAAGTTATAATTACCTTATGAAAAATACTAAAGTGCCCCACCCCAAACAAAAAATTACAACTCCAATTAATTGCCGAGTGTACTGTCAAAAAAACAAGACTCCTCTCTCCTTCTCTCTTGCTTATGCCATTCCCCACTGGAACTCGAGAAACCACATCTAGAATGATCTTAAAGCAATGAACCTTAAGCCTAGATTCTTGTAGGCGACTTCAATGACATTCATGGGACTGAAGAAAAAGCTAAAGGTGCCCCAATCCACTTTGATAGGTGTAATATGCTCTCTTTCCCCAACTAAATCTTCAGAATCGAAGGTGAAGGTGAACGGACCCACCATCGGAGTTTCCGCTGAGAAGTCTACTAGTTGATTGGTGTATTTGTAGAATCAAAGATGAAAAAGAATCAAAGATATGGAGAAATTGAAGATGAAGCAAAGAAGATGAAGCTAGAACTTTGGACAAAGGATGAGTCATCGTCGCTAAGCTTCTTCTAGATGCACTTGAGAAGATGAGTAAGCGGCAGCTAAGCAACGAAGGTTGGAGATCCAATGTTAGGTCAGTCGCCGTTGTTCATAGACTGAGTGGGGCAAGAGAGGAAGGGACGAAGGGTAATAAATGAAAAAAGGCATGTGAAATTGCAAAACTAACTCTCTTTTTTTTTTTATCAATTTTGATGGAAATGATTTGCACGTGAAAACCAAATTCAATCTCATTTTAATCAATCAAATATAAAAAATTCTCAAATTCATTTTCATATTCAATTTCACCTGGCAATCTCGAACCCTAAGGTTTAGACATTTTGGAAGTCAAAGTCTGCCATCTATAATTAACAATATTATCAGAATCAGACCTTTTAAATTAAAATAATATTTTTTAAATGATACATATGAATACAAAATTATTTAACCAATATTTGTTCATATACTGAAATGCATGCTCAAGTATATCCTATAATATTTGTTTATATCCGTCGTACATATAACAAATTAACAAAATTTAATTCATGCACAATTCAAATAGTCAAAAGATAAACAATAAATTTTAAAAATACAAAAATGAGTAAAGATTTATAATTTAAAATACAACAACTTATAATAGTATTAAAAATGCAATTTTAATTTCAATTAAAAAGTACATGTAAATCGGGCGCCATTTTTTAATGTTACAGGTGCTGGGACTTTAAAAGGCAATATGCGATGCTGCGTTGGAAAGAGTATGCGTTGGGAAGTGATGGCTGCCAGCATTTTTCTCCGTGAACAAAAGACAAAAACAATCTCATATGCAGTGAGTTTTTTAATACATTAATAAAATTAAAAATCTTATTATATATTATAAGACTGTCATTTTTAATCACATTTTCAAAAAGACTAACAAATGCACAAACTGAAAACCTCTCCTAACAAAAAAAAAAGACAAAAACAATCATTACCGTTTATCTTTTAAAAACAATCTTGACCGTTGATTTAATGCCCCTTTTCTCTTCTCTCTTCTGCCCAATACACAAATGCTGTCTCTCAAGTCTCAACTGCGTTTCACTGCAGAACCCATTTTAGTGAGTCACAGGGGCGAGGAGAAAATGGTAAAATGTTGTGAGACATCGTCCTCTGACAAAAGAATGGTGTATAGCTAGACACCGGCTATTATGGAGTTTCAAAATGGGAAAAAAAAACAAGGTGAATTTTTCTCCCTTTGATTTTTTCTTTTCCGTCGTCCTTTCCTCTTCAATATTCTCTTTCCACAACTTCTTTTCCTTTCCTCCCAGAGCTCTCAAGTTTTTTTTTTTTTTCTTCGATCTTTTTGGCCAATTTTCTGGCCCGACAGAACCACCTATCCCACCGGTTTTCTCCCGATTCACTTTTTTGACCGGTGTAAGTAGTATTCCGAACCAAACATGTGGCTGGTTCCCAATCCAACCGTTTGAACTGGCCAATTCCATCCAGTTTTGATAACAGTGATAATTAAACATGTGAATAGGTCAACTCAATTCCCATTGAACCAGTTAAACCCACCAGTCCATTTTTAAAACCTTGATTATTATCACTCCCTCCCTTGGGGTGTTTGGTTTGAGAGGAGAAAAGGGGAAGAAATCTAATAGAAGAAAGAGGTTTGACGATACCTTGTTTAATTTAGGAGGGAAGGAGAGGAAAAATAATTATATACAAACAACTTTACCCTCATTAGTGTTTAGATACTGAAAAAGCATATTTACATTTTTTTTAAAATTTATCACAGAAGGCATATTGATTAGGGTGTGACAAATTTTACCCCTCCCCTCCCAATCTCTCCAATTTGGAGGGGAGGGAAACTTTTTTTCTCCAAATTTTAAAGCCAAACAAGAGGAGGGGACAGAATCCCTCCCCTCCCCTCCAACCAAATGCTCCACTAAACAAATGAAAATAAATTTAAGTTACATATGATTTAAACTATTTTTTCAAAACGATGAAAAATAGTAATAAGCCTATTTACATAAACAGGTTAAGTATTTGTTAGAAAAAATTTTTGAACTAAGGTTTAGTTATTTTAGAAGTCAAAAGTTTGCCACCTATAATTAGGCATGTGAATAGGTCAGGTCAACATTACATACCTCACCTACATATTAAATCATTAAACATAACATTATCTTCATATCTTTTAAAAATAACAAAAAGAGACAACTTAAAATGCGTTTGAGTAAAATATTATAAAAAAAAAAAGGATTAAGAGTATAATCATTACATTAATGTAATAGAGATTGCAAGCCCCCTAAAGGCAAGCAATATACTTGAAGTTCTGGTGGAGACTGGAGAGAGAGGTGGTGAGCGAGGGAGAACTAAAAGGAAGATAACTTTTTTTTTAATATATTCAACATGGGTCAACGGCTTGAGGCTTTGACAAAGTTCAAAATCACATAGGAAGAGGTAAATAAATATTAAATAACATAAGTAATCAACATTCTAAAGATTGCAAAACGGGGTAAAAAGATCAAAGATATTTCTAGAATTCTCCTTTGCGCATGAGAAAACTTATACAAGTTCCTAAGGCAAATAACTTACACAGATCCTGAACCAACTTGTCAAATCTACATCTCTTGAGCGTCATTCTTCAGTAAGTTTTTAAGTCATGAATCACAAACTGCACATAAAACAAAAAATAGCTTACCAAGTTTCTTGCCTACAAGGATGAAGCTAGCAATGGCAGAAAGTTTAAGATGAAAAATAAACGGCCAGAAGCACAAAAGTACAATGAATGAACTTCCACACCCATGGTATTGAGCTCGGAAAAAGGACATTTTCAACATGTTTAACCGCAACCAAGAAAAACTTTAAAACTTGTTAAATTCTCTCCTATTAAATATAGGTACTTTAACAACTTGCTTTCTCTCACCAACATTTTAATGGAAAGTAAAGGGAAAATTTGTAATAAAAAATTAATGACATGATTTATAAATAAGACCAAAAAAATCATTCTTGTCTCTAGCCATGGGAATAAGTGGGACCACATGAATTTATGTGAATGTGAACAGAGCCGACTGTGTAACGGGTCTAAGAGTAGTTTGATCAACTAATTTGGAATGCTCAACATGAAGTAAAGTACATACCAAATTTGTGGAAGGGCCAGCAAGCCAAGTATGTAAAAGAAACTTGTCTTTGGCTGATTAGGATCATCTCTGGGCTTGATCCAAGGAAGTGCCAACTGAAGTAGCTGCCACGCTGCTTGCTGACCCATTCTCAACGGGCGGAGGCACACCCCACTTGCCTTCAGACTCAAGCGGTTCGAAGACATGAACTCCACCATCTGAGAGTCCAACCGCAAACTGAGTTGGTTCTTGTGGATGTGCTGCGATCACAAGTGGCTGTACACTGGAAACCAAAAACAAAAGTTGAAGTTCACCTATAAGTACTACACAAGAAGTTTGATAAACTTATTAGAGAATTGAATATTTGCAGAAACAAACTCTAGATTGACTGCCATCCTTTTTAGATTGCAACTATAGACAGCTATATGGTTTCAAGGTTTATAGTCATTAAATTCACAGGAAAACTACTCCACATACGAGAGCCAGAGTGTCCACTTTCCACATAAAATATTATATCTTGAAGCATTAGTTCTTTGGACACAAACTCAAATCTTTGAAAGGAATCGTATTGATCAAATGAAACATCTGCCGACTGTAGGCAACTTCAATGTGAAGTTTTATCCCAGAAATAACTTAGCAGATTTAAGTCAGAATACAGACTGAAAAATAAGGAGAAACCTCAAATAGCTTAGATGATGTGTCTAGAGCATGGGGACGAACATGTGTGATTGTGTAAAGAAAAACAAATTCACAATTTTGGCAGTGATTTCTACACAAAAGTTTTGGAAATTAGTTTCATAAAGTAGTTGACAGCGAAAGTTCAGATAATTGACTGACTATACTGGAAAAGGTTTCATGGCAGGTGAGACAAATCAAATGAATAAACACAAGTTAGCTGATGAAAGAAGGCGTCACCTCACACTTGAAGGAAGATAAGCAGAAGGATTGATACGACAACGTAACCCAAGGTTTGAAGCACTAAATACAGAGACTGTCGCATCCAAAAAGCTGGCATATATCAGTTGGCTGTCACATGAGAAAGTTGCGTGTGATATTGGAGCAGCAGAATCTCGGGGCAACCACTACAATTCAAATTACTCGTATCAGATAAAAAAAGAGTTGAGTAAAGTCAATCATGTAACACATGAACCTTAATGAATTTACCTGCTTCAGACGTTCTAGTTTTGATGTTTCATAAATTGCAAGTTGAGTTTCATGTACAACTAAGAATTGCATCTGATCCGGATGAAACTGTACACGAGTGTCTGCCGTTGCTGTTTGGGCTCTCCCAGCGGGAAGCTGCAAAGGTCTGGTCTTCTGCTTTTCCCATCCATCAGTATTCCACACACAAAGCTGCAAAACACAAACTCGTGATGACTGATGATTATTTACACGATACTTTTGCAAACAGCAGTGCCAATATTATGTTCAAAGGGAATCCATGCGAAAATAAATATCTATTATCAATGATAGACGCAAATCTTGAAGTACCATTAATCATAGAAAAGACAGGTTCTAGATTTGGAGAAAGGTCTATATTTTATTACCTGGGCATCTGCTCCAGATGATACTAGCACATTGAATCCATGAGAGAAAGCAAGACCTGTTATTCTTTTAGTATGACCTTTCAGTTTACTTTTAACCTGCACAAAGAGCTCTTCATAAACATCGAGGATCTAATCATAAGTCCTGGTATTGTTTCAGACATTGGACAGTATTGATACCTCATCCACACGGACATTATATATCTGAATGGTGGAATCATCCATGCCAATAGCTATAATATTGTTATCCTGGGGATGGAAAGCAAGAAACGTGGCTGCAGGTGGTGGAGGCATGAAAGTTGTCATTGTCTGCATGTAGCAAGGTCAAGATTGAATTAATTGAAACACAAAAATATGAATAAAACAAGAAGGGCCAGTAGGTCACCTTAAAAGTCATCATATTGAACAAGGAAATCTTCCCTCCAGACGCAGACATTACATAAGAATCATTTTTGGAGAGAGCAAAGCAGGGCACAGCATCCTCAGGATTGCTGTCAGCAATGTCATTGGTCATCAGGATGCCACTTGATGGTTGCCACAACTGGGGTGACACACTAGCAGTGGCCTGCAAGTAGAAGCACCAACATAAAGAAATAGCATGATTCCTATTCCAAATTTTATGATAGTAGAGAATGATAGAAGTAACTGCACATGATCTCACATCACACCTTGCCAGAAGAATTTCGCTCACTCCGCTGCCATTTCCACAGCAAATGAATGGCATTTGATGATAATGCCAATACAGCATTACCTGAATTTGTATATATCAACCTAGATATCTGCCAAAAAAAAATTAAGATAATCAGGATTCAAGACATTCATTCAACAAAGTGGAGAGCGGAAATAGCACATAAACAACATTACCTTTGTCACTCTTACATTCTCAGGTAGTTTCAAGGATCTACACTGAGATGGTTCATTGATTTCAGTAAGCTTCCATATCTTTGACTTGTCATTGGACTCTTCAGTTATTCTAGGTTTGACATCACCCAAGTTTCGAGAATCGCCGTTCTGAAAAGATGAAATCAATTTGTCAGTTACATAGTTAATAGTACCAGTCATGATGAGATGCTCACTCTACAATCCCAGCAAGAATGAACATGACAAAATGCATTATTTACGCTATGATATGTTAAGAAACAATGAAGAAAGAACTCTACAAGCAGCATGCAAAAATATGACAAGTACTAATTATATGAAAACAAGATCAGACAGACCATTCCAGGAATAGCTACCACAGATGAGCCTCTCTCTGCAAGTGCAGCACTACTTGCAGCAGCAGCTGAAATTGGATTTATTGTAGGCTGCTCCAAAACAACATTCATTAAATTAAGCTTTGTTGGTAAGTTCAGGGGAGCATAACATTCTAGAAATCTACCTTTGCCATGGCTTCAGATGTTCTAGATGTGTCATATAAAGAATTCTCAAATGCACGCAACAATCGACTACCATCTGCATTTGATAAAATTTTAATCCCATTTTCATTTGCCGAAACAGCCAATAGAGTTCCATCCTTGTTGAAACGAATCCGTGGGCTTGCCTAGAAATCAGATTAAGGCAGCAATAAGCAACTACCATTTCCAGAGATTACCTCCCCAGTTTGAAATAAATGAATGAACTTACAGGAAGACCTCCATCAGCATCAATAGTCATCAAAGGTTGAACATTGTCCATGTCCCAGAATTTAATGGAGAACTCATCACCAGCAGCCAAATATCGATTTTTTGTTGTATCAAATTGCACAACACCCAAAGATCGCTTGCGGAATCCTAGATACGTCCTTTTGACTGCTCCTTCACTTTCATTCCACTCAACAATAGAGGACTCCCCATCTTTGCTTGTCCCACATGAAAAGAGTCTGCAATATGCATTAACAAAATCCAAATGTTTGAACAGAAAGAAATAGAAATAGATATCTTTATTGATCATACAAGAAATAGAACTGGGCAAATAGCCATGGTTGAGAATATTGACCTTGTACCATCAGCACTGTAAGCCATTGTTGTGCACCAACGACCAGGAGCATCATAATCAACACGAGATCCCAAATTGTCATACAGCCAAGCTTTTATCTTTCCATCTAATGCTGTTGAAAATATGAACTAGGACATGAAAGCAGAGTATCAGAAAGAAACCCAAACAGGGGGGGAAAAGTCAAGAACTTTCCCTTAGGCTAATCACTTGGGATAACAAAATGATTTATAAAAAATCTCCACGAGTCATACCTGAATGTTTTCTTTATAATGAGGGCAGACACTATAAACTGGAGCCTCGTGACCTTCAAAAGTATACTGTTTTGCACCCGTGGCAGCATCCCACACCTTGAATTACCAAAATTAGTAAGCAACATTCAATAACTTACCCATTTTGGAAAAGCATGCCATGCCTTGAAAAACTTACCTTAATGGTTTTATCATCACCACATGTTATGACACAGAGTTGCTTATTAGGGTGGGAAAATGCCAGATCATTTACTCCACCAACATGAGCATCAATCTAGACAAAAAGTAAATAAATTAAAAAAACAAGCATAATTAGAATCAAAAGGATGCTCCAGAGTTTTTTATTTAAAAAAATATTTTGTACATTACCTCCAGGTGCTGTCGCACATCTTCCCCACCATGGTAAGAGTATATTTGAACAATGTGCCTCGAGTATGCAACTCCTGTTTATTTAAAAGTTGTTAAAAAAAAAAACAGAGATTGGCCTGGCTGAATTCTTAAACGAAAAGTATGTATTGTTGAAATCATCATGTCACAATGATTCAATTCAAACACATTCAACTTACCAAACAAGGCACCATCAGGACTCCAGATCACACGGTTGACAGAAACACCTGGATCTTTAACAAGAGCAGCCTAAATTTAATGAATGATTAGTTTTCTTTTCAGTCATAACAATATTACAAGTCAAGGAGTTTGGTACAACACGGCAGAGTAAAAATTGAATACTTCCGAGAACAAACAACCTGCAGCGGCATTGAACAGGCACTAAGATCCCAAACTTTGAAATTCCTCAACACCAGTCGCTCACGTGAACCTACTTCCCACAATGATATGTCCCCCACATTGGTACCAACTGACATATCATGTCAAGAAAAACTTAGTCAATTGCTAATATGAATAGGAATAATAAAATTATTTTTCAACAATTAAGTTAATGACACCATTGAAAGGTTTTAGAATAGCAGCTTACCAAGAAGCAGGGTCTGTTGTACTGGATGAAAGTCCATGCTCATCGGAGATGAACCCTGATTGAGTGTTCTTGTCACAGTCTTTGGTATGTCATCAGGAGCAATGAAAGCCTGACCATGTCCATGACCTGGGAATGCTGCTGGCAACACATTAACAGGAAGATTCACCTGCACAAACAAGATTATGGCATCAGAAATTTGAAGGCAAAACTACACTATCAATCATCAGTAGAAAAATGGCATAGATAGTATTTCAAGACCACGTGCAAGTAAGTAGTAGCATCTTACTTCATCTGAAATCCCCATGGGCCTTGTCCTCTTAGAAACATGATCAGAATCTCCAGATGGGTAGTCAGCAGAAGGGTTCGTTGGAGGAGTCCTAGGGTGTTTCAAAGCAGCTTTACAAGACAATGAACCACAGCCAAAGTTAAATATCAAGCCAAATATATCCTAGAAGATCATAGCACAGCTACATATGAAGACTTTGTGAGAAGACAGCAAAAGAATGGACTACCAGGAATTGATGGAGCACCAAGACCTATAGCTCCTCCCCCAGAAACTGCAGCATGTGCCACGGTGGTTGGATTGGACATCCAACCTGCTAGAGGTGTTGGCGCAGGTGCCGGTGTAGGTTGAAAAGGCTTCACACATAAGGCATCACACACAATTGCATACTTAGTAAGAAAAGAGAACCAAAAGAAAATGAAGAGATGCTCGTTGCAGTGCATATAACACCAAATTAAGGTTGACAATCAGTTTTATAACCCACCCCATGAGCACCGAGAGGAGGAAACCCGCCAGCTTTTGGTAAGGCTCCAATTAACGGATTATTAGCAGGTGATGGAGCTCGTGCACCATTTGGCTGTCCACATGAGTGATCCACAAAAAGAGTTTTTATATCTGGATTTGGACGTGGATTCTTACAAAGTTGGTGCTGCCAATTCAAGCTGCAACTCAATTTTTTATTTCAAGAAAAAAGGTGTTAAGACATAACTTCATCAGTAGCCGTCTACAATGAGAAAGCAGAAATGGTAGCTCTGCCGTAAATCAATTATTGAACATTCAAGCAAGTTTCATCACACAGCCAAACACATTGTACAGGAGCATAATAGACCTCCGTCTACAATCAATAGCATTCAATAGCATGAACTTTATCATTGATGAAAATTACGAAAGAGCTTATTGGCAGAAGATATGGTGCAAGTATACATCAATGCCAAAAATTAGAAGTCAGCACATGCAGCTCATTCGATATTTAAGGTAAAGGATACGATAGCATTGGCTTTGCCAAAGTGTACAAAAAATACATCTCATACATGCGGCATGCAGCTATTTTGAATTGAGTGATATGGAATGTTTGCAAGACATACCTCTGATTGATGAGAGTTCGTAACCTTGAGTTTTTAAGGTTGGGAAATTGCAATTTGTCCCGGAATAGGGGATTTGCTTCAATCAGCTTTTTGAGCTCAACTAACATGATTGCTCTTGCAGATTTTGTGTCACCATACTTTGACAATTGTTCATTTTCCCTACCACATGAGAAACTTATGAGTATCCAAAGAACTTCTACACTGCAACCATACTGAAGTGTACATTCGTACCTAAAATTCTCCAGTGTCAAAAGCTGTGTGATTTCCTTAAATAGATCTTCATTGAATGTGGCAAAGACTTTCAAATCCTTCACTAATATTTCTACAGCCTTGGACCGATCATGCCTATCAAAATTTACAGTTAACCAAAGTTACATGCTAGAATGTTGACAGTACACATAATCAAATGTGAACCAGTGAACTTACTTATCTAATGCCTCAAGGTATTTTTGCTTTCTTATCTCGAAAAATATCTTCATGGAGTACCGATTATCATCTACTTTGGTGAAACCAGAGAGGTATTTTTCAACCTCATCCCAATTGCCATTATGCACTTCATCCTCAAAATATTTCATGTTAAAGAAAAATCCAGACTCCTGCTCAAGCCTTTTTTTTTTTAACGAAAAGGGAGAAAAAAAATTAGCGTAACCAATAGTGAAAATGTACAAAAATCATAATCATAAATGAGAAACAAAAATGGCACAAGCCCCACTTGTGAACAGTCTCTTTGAACTTTTCCTCATCCAAAAACTGCAAGATCAAGAACACCAGTTCTCTGCTGAGAGACGACATCGTCACTGGCTCGCCCTCGATTAGATACGCACTAAAATGAGCACTAGTAGACTAGATCTGCAAATTTTTTTAAAAGGAAAAAAGAAAATAGATTAATAACACATCGGTTAGCTGCGAATGGCTTAAAAATCACTGGAAAAATAAGACACAAATAATTCAAATCCATACCTAGAACGAAATCATTTAACCAGCCCCAGCTTTTAATCTAAAGATAGCTACCATTTTGTAAAATTAACTACACCAAACCGATGTGGGTAGCGAAATCAACTTGAGTAGATGAGAAAGGGAAAAAAATGAAAACAATTTGACTCTATCCTGAACGATCAAAGCGGGTCAAGAAAGCATCTTTAATCCATATAGGAATCGAAGATGCAAGAGAAAAAAAGCGTAAAAGGAAAAAAAAAATAAAGGCAAGGGCATAGAAAGAAAAAGTTGAAAAAAAATAAAACTAAAATACCCAGAAAAGCTAAAGACTAAAAGCAACGGATTCGACAATATGAGAGAGAAAGTATGTGTGTCTGTTTGCCCTGAGAAGCTCTCTCACCTTTGAAACCCAGCAATCGGCAACACATGGAGAAGAAGGGTCCGAATACTGAACGGAACAAACGGACCAGAAGAACAAAGTTTAGGTGAAAGCTCCCTCTCTCTCTCTCTCTCTTATCTTTCTCTTTCTCTTGGACTTTCTCTCTCCTCAGCTGGACTCTTACATGGTCTTTGCCTCCTCGCTCTACATAGCAACTTCTCGAGAAATGCTTATAGATATATATATATATATATATATAAGGACAGTTGAGCTAGCAGAAATGGGCGTTTTTTTTCGTATAAGAAGTGACCGGCAGAGGAGGTGATAGTCCAAAGGACTTATCAACGATAAGTCCTCTCCATGACTGATATGATAAGTGCAGTGACACATGGGGCCCACTAAGCCGGCTTCAATTCGTCTTTAAATCGGCTCGAAATCTGAAGCTGCCAGCTGTCTTACAACTTGGAGAAAACATAGAAGGGAACTCGGGATAATGCTAGAAATGGCTTGATTCTCTATTTTTCTAAAAAAATCTTTAATTTTCTTAACTTGTTGTATAATTATTTGAACTACTGCTATGCTAAAACAAGTAATAACTGCATGCTTCTTTTATTAATTCTTCTAAAAAATACAACCTTTTTAATATGTGAAAATAATATTTGAAAAATCCTTAGAATATTTTGACTTTAAAGGATCACTTAAACTTGCATGGATTCTTTGTATTTTAAAAGGAAATCGATGCTCTTCCCAGCGGAGGACAGGGAGGGTTTTTGCTTTAATTATATTTATAGAGCAATTCGATAATTTTTTGTGTGTCTGTCTTTACACATTTATCCATATTGAAGTTAGAAAATTTATTACTAATGCTAAAGTGTTTTATTTTTAAAACATATGTATTTAATAAAGATAAAGTTTGAAACTTATTAAATTTTTGAACATGGTTAATGCAGTTTAAAATTTTTCTTAATTTTTATAAAAATACTAAAGATGACTTATAAATAGAATCTTATTATGTATTTAAAGAAAGATAAATTAGGAATGTAAGACTGATGTACAAGAATATCAATTTTTACCTTTGATATGTTTGTTATTTAATAATTTCACTTTAAATCCTAACCTGTTATGAGGAGTCTTCTTTAGTGGAGGAGCATATGATAATTGTTTAGTGGTTGTCATGGGATGTAAATTTAAATATTTAAAAATACAAAGATGAATACTATGGTTTAAAAGTAGAAAGTGGGCACCAAGGAGGTGGATGATGAATAAAATATAATCTCTGTACTTTCATGTTAATTAGAAGTTAGTCTTACATGTTCATACAAAATTCAAAAAATAAGGGTTAAAGTATACATTTAATTCTTTAATTTTATATAACATTTTATTTTAGTCTCTTAACTTTATAAATTATCTTTTTCGTCATTTAACTCTAACACTGTTAGTTTTATCTCAATAAATTTCAACATTTAACTTTCAAATATTAACAAAACATTCTCAAATATTGACATGTTAAATTTAATTTTTTTCAAAATAACAATGACTGATATAAAAAATAATTATTTCAAACTAAAGATATTAGGACTAAAAGATTAAAAAGATATTTTATAAAATTAAAGAACCAAGTTAAAACCTTATATAAAATTATAGGACTAAAAGTATACTTTAATCAAGAAATAAACTGTACTTGTATTTATAAATAATGCAGTTTATAATTATAAATGGTTCATGTGTATTGAGAAAAATTGATTTTTTAAATCTCACGAAAAATAAAATTATTTTTTTCAATTTTCAATTTTTTCCATATTCACAAATGACAACGATTATGATTTTTCATGCATCATTACCGAACATAAATTAACCCATACAAAAATAAAAATGGAAAAATATTTTTTAAAATTACAAAAATATTATGCATTTTAGACCTACAATAATTGGTAAAAAGTACCATACATTATGCGAACATAAGTGAGTAAGTGACAAGTGAGTATACATTAATATTAATTTTTTATAACTTTTGTAGATAAATTACATATATTTGTTATAATGTTAAAATTATTTCAAAAATATAAGCTATTTTGAGTCTAAAGTACAATTAATAAAGTTTTTCCAAAATATACTTAATTTGGAGAGTAAGGTTTTTATAATTGAAATACCATATTAAATAAGAGTATATATAAAAAAATGTGTAATTTTAAACACAATTAACTAATTCATTAAAAGCATAATTTGATTAAAAATATATTATAACAAGAAATAGATGAAGTCATTAATATAACAAATTCCAAAGTAATATGTTTATTCATTTAAAATATTTTAAATCTTTCAAAATACAATTAACAAAGTTTTCAAAAAAGACTTCTTAATTAGAGGATGTAATTAATAAAATTTTTTTAATTAGAATACTCTATTAATAAGAACATATATGAAAAGAGTGTGTATGATTTTAAAAATAATTAAATAATTTATTAGAGACATAATTCAGTTAAAAATTTTAAATACCAAACCAAAAGAGCAGAAATTAAATTGAATTTCGTGCATCACAACGAGTTCAAGAAACTAGTTAATGTGGCCAAATGATGCCCATTATTATTACTTTTTTTGACCAACGCCCATTATTATTACTTGAAAGCCATGGAAATAATAAATCTATTACGTACGGTAATTGCCGAGAAAGTGATGTTCATGAATGCTAGAATCATCTACGAAAACGACAAAATTTACGGGGAGGGCCCCTCAAAGGGTTTGACCCCTGATTTGGGTGAATATTACGGAGGATGCCATTCAGTGAATCGTGATTGTGACAGCCCCAAGATGCGGTACTTTTAATGTATCACGTGAAAGTGTTGATCGTTTCGGAACCGTAAACGAGAAAAACAGTTCACATCTTCCTTTAATTTCTCTCCTACTCGTACGATACGTAAAATGTAACGATAAGATGGGGACTAAATCAAGAAAGCCGAGTTAATAATAAATACCCGTATGTTATTAATAAATAATACTCACGTGACACGTCACTCTTAATATTTTTTATTAGATCCGACAAAAATTTTAAAATTTGATAAACTCTAAATTTTACCTATTAAATATATTCATTCTTTTTAAAAATATAAATCATTTTTAACTTATTCACACCTTTAAAAAATTACTTATTGTCTTAAAACCTACTACATAATCTTTTCATATCTACACTTATTTAATAATGTATTTCACTTAAAAAGGTGGAGGATTAATTTATTTATTTATTAAAGTTATTTTCAGAAAAAATATTAATTATGTATTAAAAAATTAAAAATATATTATGTTTTTGAACATCTAATCTCAAAAAAATGCCCTATATTTTCATCAGAAGAAATACTTATTTTAAAAACCATGTTTTCTCAATGTGAGATTTAATGAGAGAAAATAAGATAAAAATTAATAAATAAGACATGATGAAGATATTATTTTTTAGAAGTATTGAGTATTTTATACATTTAATTGGAGTAATTTTTTTCTCAACTAATTTTTTTATTAGCAAAATTATTCCACTGTTGGTCAGCCATTTATTCCCATATATATTTTTACATCCCCATAATCTCAATTACTAATACATTTTATGATGAGTGGGATATATATTTATATAAATATCTAGATTAACAAAGGCAATGAGTAAAAGGAAAAAAGAAATTTTTAGATGTACTAAATTATTTATATTTTAAATCAAAATTAGTTAAAAAATGTTTATATTTTATATGAAAGGGAGTTTATTTTATTTATAATTATACACACACAAACATGATACTTTTCGTTCAAAAATATAATGTATTTTTAATCGAATATCATCCCAATAAAGTAATTACTTATTATTAAATTAACACTATCTTTTTATATTTACCCCTATTAAATACCTTATAATAAATATAAAGTCATTATTAATAGGAGCACTTTTTAAAAAAAGTAATGATTACACTTAAAAAAATTAAAAATATCTTACATTTCTGAATATTTAACTCTTTAAAAAATATCTTACTCCCTCCGTTCAAAAATATAAGGTATTTTTTAAACAGTTGAATGTTAAAAAATATAAAATATTTTTAATCTTTTGAGATATAATCATTATTTTTTTTAAAGTGTCTTTATTGATAATAATTTTATATTTATTATAGGGTGTTTAATAGAGATGAATAAAAAAATATAATTAATTTAAAAATAAATAATTATTTTATTAGAAAGTAAAATTTAATTAAAAATATTTTATATTTTTAAATGAAAAGAGTATACTCCCTCCGGTCCCATTTATAAGTCCAATTTTAAAAGGTGTATTTGGTCCCATTTATAAGTCACGGTGCGTCTTTTTAGGTAATATTTGAGAGGTATTTCCAAAATTACCCTTCATGAGAGAGAAAAAGTAACAGGATATTACTTTTTAGATTTGTTATATAGGGACATGTTTAAAATTTTAGTTATTTTTATTTCCTTATACTTTTATTGTATTGATATTGATGAGATTGATAGAAATGATTTATAAATAATATCGGAGGGAGCATGCTTGAAGGGAGAAAGTAGGCTCAAAATATGCGGTGCGAGATTTGTACTGTGTTCGGATTGTTGTCGCTATCAACCGCGTACGTCTGCTTCTAGTTCTTTTCTCCACGTAGCCTGATAGCCATAATAAAATAAAGATATGTTGTAGGGAAGATTTTAGAATTTTTTTTTTTAATCCAAACTGAAACCCCCAACTCCAACATTGTCAAAATCTAATGAGAATGTGATATTTTAACAACCTTGAATTTTTCAACCACCTTGCTTCTTCAATTCAAACAAATTGTCATTTTATTTAATGAAGACTGAGTTTTAAGTAAAAAAAAAGTTATATGGACTAAGTAAAATTAAATTGTAAAACATAAAGCATAAATATAAAATTATAATAAAACATGGACTAAGTTGGAAGAGTATAATTTTTTTTTCGCCAACAGAAGAGTATAAGTTTAATAATTGAATTAAAATTAAAAGGATATAAATTAAAATTTAGAATTAAATAATTAGGATTTTTCTGTAAAAAAAAGCCACCGAAAAAAGTTGGATCTATCTTCATTTTCAAAGAGAATCATGTGATGTTGTGTTTAGAGCCTTGCCCTTGCCGAACACTCTAACCTCTAACTCGCCTGGTGGGCCTTTAATTTAATAATAATAATGATAAATATAAATGGCAGAAAATAATACTCCCTCTATATAAAATTATAAA